ATTTTGTCCGTCACTGGAGCTACACCAACCCTATTTGATATGCAAATAAGTAAGTGTTCAATGTTATGTTCGTAAATCTGCCATAACAATAATGGCTAAACAAGTTCAAAAGGATATTTGCACCACATGCATGCCAGTATGTGAATGTAATTGCCCAAAACCATAAAGTTTTGATTGGTTCGCCTAAAGAAATGAGCCACTCAATTATTTTTTGATCTTAATGTTTTAGATAATATAGCAGCACTCTATTATAATGCGGAAGAGGAGAACATGAATGATACCTTGAGCTCCGCACCAGAAGCACCATTCATTTTCTCAGCAATTTTCTTTAGATCAATTCCACGCATCAAGTTCATCTTCCTTGAATGAATTTTCAGAATATCCCAGCGGGACTGAAAAAATCTCAGGCAAAGTTAGTATTTCATTGCATTTCATCAGATATTGAGCTTAAAGAACTATATGAAGATTGATTAAATTAGGCACATCAAAGGAGAGCAATTCCAAAATTAAGAAACGCGCCTCTTCGTTGGGGTTAGGAAACTCAATTTTTCTATCGATACGACCAGGCCTGAGCAGAGCTTGATCCAAAATATCAATCCTATTAGTGGCCATAAGAACCTGTCGAATACAATGTTCAAATAATTTGTGTGATTCACTGAAGTTTCAAAATTAATTTGAACAAAGTCAGAGACGGTTACTTTTATCTTATTTGAAGCTTCAAATCCATCCAACTGATTGAGAAGTTCGAGCATAGTCCTCTGCACCTCACTGTCCCCATTGCCAGATCCAGATTCCATTCTAGCAGAACCAATACTATCAATTTCATCCATGAAGATGATCGAAGGAGCATGTTCCCTGTAATTAGTAGGTAAACCATTCAAATGTCAACATTTATATATTCATAAAGATTTAGTTGTCCTTAAACAAGATAAAAGAGGGAGTTTTGGGAAGAACCGTGGAGTTTGAACTCAATATTGGAATCTAATTGCATCCAAACAAATCATCATACCTTTAGCTAAATTGATCTTCCAGTTACTTTCATTTGAACCAAATAACTAATATGAAATTATGAAGTAAATCAAATATGGATTCCAAATAATTCCCTCAAACAAAACAGATCCATAATGCTCCAACTAATGGTATGATCATGACAACGTTGTTTAAATTATAATTGCAGCACTGCAGGCCTTGGCCCTGCACGAAGTTTTTTTTTTTTTTTTTTTTCCTTGTAATGAATACAAGCTCAGACCATATTTTAGCTTATACTAAAAACCAAAACAAAAACATCCTTAAAGTAGCATATAACTAAATCAGAAAATTGAAGAACTAGAACCCAACACCTTTCTGTAATTCACCCATCTTACAGCTATATGTCGACGAGATAACAAATTTTCAGTATATCCCGATCCTGAAATGCTAAGGAGCTGTTTGGGATCACTTTTGATTTTTATTTTCTATTTTTTATTTTTATTTTATTTTTAATTCAAATAAAACATATTTGGTATGTTATAACATGTTTAATTGTACTTAAAAACATACAAAACAATCTTTAGTGAGTTTTAAATATTTTTAAAAGCAAGCTAATTTTCTTTTGAAAACAAAAAATTTAAAAAATGCAAAAAATGAACTAAGCAAAAACATTAAAAAAAAAAAAAAAAAAAAGTGACCCCAAACAAGCCCTGTACATTGTTTGCTTCTGATCAGTGGCATTCATTCCACCACATATTACCATATAGTTTAAAAAATCCAGCTAACAAACAAAAAGAAGTATTAACTTGAGGGGCTGAAGGCAACAGGAACCTTAGCATACCTTGCCATAACAAAAAGTTCGCGAACCATTCTAGAGCCTTCTCCAATGTACTTCTGAACCAATTCAGAGCCAGAAACCCGAATGAAGGTGCAATCAGTATGATGAGCGACAGCCCTTGCCAGTAACGTCTTTCCAGTACCAGGTGGTCCATACAACAAAACTCCCTGAAAAAGGGAAATATTCAAAAATTAAGCATAAAATTAGGATACTACCAAAAAACTGGAAAGTAAACAAAGACAGCAACACTTGAAGTTTTACAGTTTTACTGCATTCAAATGAAAAAGTAACAATATGTATTACAGATCCAATACCTTTGGTTGCGCTATTCCAAGACTTTCAAACAACTCCGGATGTTTGATAGGGAGCTCGATAACCTGCAAATAAAATGAAACCTTAAGATACAGTTCTGAAACCAGTGCTCATTTCAAGTTTCGGCCTAATAATGAATCTATTATTAGGTTAATAAATAAAAGTTAAGCTGATATCTTCTAACCTCTTTTATCTCTTTGATTTGTTGGTCAAGGCCACCAATCATATCATAAGTAGAATCAGGAACCTTCTCGACTTTCATAAGATTAACCAAAGGATCTACTTTGCTAGGTAAAATCAAGTGAAGCACATAGCTATCATTGCGAAGAGCAACTCTGGTTGATGGCGTGATCTTTGTTATGTCAATATTCTTATCCACATCAACAACATATTTTCCTTCGGGATGAACCTGCATATAAATTCAAACTTCAGTTTTCGGGCCCTAATTGATTTAGACAACTTCTTAGAATTTCTAACGGAAATAGTACGGAAATAGATTTTTTCCCTCAAACTAACGCCCATGAAGAGAATCAAATACAGTATTAAACCGTCAGATACTTGATATTGTGAATTACTGCAAGGTTAAACTGTCAGATACTTGATATTGTGAATTACTGTAAAGCAGCATTGGCATCAATACATGCATATCAATTGAATCGAGTATGGAAAAACATTAAAAACAATTAAGAAAATCATGTTGTATGGCCTGAATATAGTGAAACGTGTGCAACAGACGCTGCACCGACGCCGAGATGTAGTGTCAAATAAACAAGGGTTCTCACATTACAGACGGATGCGGGTAAAGAAGTTAGTCCATGAAACTACTATTAAAATAGGATCTTAGAATATAACTACTGTCACAGGTAAATTAATGAGATTAGTTGATATTATAATTCATAGAAAGATAAATATCTTATGCATTCAAGAAACTAAATGGGTCAGAGAAAATGCTAAGGAGATTCATAACTTAGGTTTTAAACTTTGATATCCAGGTAAGGGTCGCACTAAAAATGATGTACGTGTGATTATAAAAAAGATTTTGAAAGATAATGTTGCAAAAATTAATAGAATTAGAGATAAAATTATAGCCCTAAAGGTTTTTAATATTAAGATTAATATTAATAGATTAGAAATAGTTAATAATAAAATTAGAGATAGAATTATAATCATAGGTACTTATGCTCTCTTCAAGTAGGTTTAGATATAGGTCTAAAAATAATTCTGGAATGACCTAAAAGACTTTATACAAATGATACCTCTTGAAGAAACAATTTTTATTAGAGGAGATTTAAATGAAAAAATTTTAGAAATATTCATGGTGGCTACGATTTTTGAGTGATTAATGAATAATGTATAGTCATATTAGATTTTGCTTTAGGATATGATTTTGTTATTGCTAATATTTTATTCAAAAAATGAGATAAGCATATTATTATTTATAAGAATGAATCTAATAAAACAAAATTGATTATTTTCTTATGAGAAGGAAATATCATCGAGAATGTAAAGATTGTAAGGTCATTCAAAGTGAGGATTTAAGTATTAAACATCAATTATTAGTTCTAGATTTTAAGGCGAAGGGTTATAAAATAAAGAATACCATAAATTATTATTGTAGAATTAAATGAGAACACCTAAAAGTCATAACTAAAATTATTTTTATGAATAAACTTCAAGATTTCAAGATTTGGATGTTCATGAAGAAGCAACTTATATGTGAGATAAAGTAACAAACACTATTAAACAAACGACAAAAAATGTACTTAGAGAATAAAAAAAAAATTATAAATAAAAATAGTTTGTGGTGGAATAACAATGTGAAAAAAAAATATAAGAAGTTATGTTATAAAAAATGATTTAAACGTATAAGCGTAGAGAATTAGAAAAATAATAAAATGACTCATAGAGAGTCTAAGAAAATAATCCGTGGTGCTAAAAATTATACTTTTAGTAATATTTATAATAAATTAAATACTAAAGATGATAAAAAATATATGTATAAACTAGCTAAACAAAGAGACAAAAGTACAAAATTAACTCAAATAAAATGTATTAAAGATGAAAATCAAAAAGTATTTTCTTAGAAAAATATATTCAACATAGGTGGGCGAGTTTTTTTGTCTTAGAAAAATATATTCAACATAGGTGGGCGAGTTTTTTTGATATTTTTTAGTGAAGTTTCTCCAAATAAGATCGACCTTAATGATGTTAATATCGTTAATAATAATAAAATATTTTATTTTTACCCACATTAATAAAAAAGAAGTTGAGATGGTTTTAAAAAACACCAAGGGTAGAAAGTCTGCAAGACCCGATAATATCTCAATCGAAGTGTGGAAATATATAACATCTTGGGTTACTACACTCTTTAAGATTATTTTAAAAACTAAAAAGATACATGAGTGGAGGAATGCTTCGGGCCTATTGTGTGATAGAAAAGCATTGCTTAGACTAAAGGGAAAACTTTATAAGATGGTAGTGGGACTTGTAATGTCTTATGATGCTAAATGTTGGCCTTTAAAATGAGCGTAAAACTAAGTTAAGTGTTGTCGAGATGAGAATTCTTAGGTGGATGAGTGACTTTATACTTAGAGACAAAACGCGAAATGAATATATCCGTGATAGATTGGTGTAGCTCCACTGGAGGACAAAATTAGAGAAAATCGTTTTAGATGGTTTGGTCACATTAAGAGTCGACCATCTGATGATTCAATTAGGAGAGTATATGTTTTAGATTTGACTTATGTTAAGAAAGACAGAGGTAGACCTAAAAAAACTTGGGCATATTGTATAAAAAATGATCTTAATTTATTAGAATTAAATGAAAATATGACACTCAATAGGACGCAATGGAGAAAAAAGATTCATGTAGTTGACCCACTTAGTAGGATAAAGGTTTGTTGTTGTCGTCGTCGACGTTGTTGTTGTTGTACACTGACTAGTACAAAATTACAACACAAATTAGTTGGCTTAACGCAAGCCTCACATCCACATTACCAAATCTACTCTCCAAAATCAACATAATTTTTATAAATTTGTTCCATTACTCTCTTCCACATCTGCATTATATAAATCACAAGTTCAAAACCCTCATAATTATTAGAATCTTTGATATTTATTTTTAATATTAGTATTAAACTACTTTTTCTATTGTTTAGCATGCTCTTATCCTTAAAAATTTACATTAATAAGATTTACTAAGAAAATCATTGCAATAAACACTCATAATTCCAAAATCACAATTGGTATAAGACCTGGACTTAAAACTTCACTTTTAGAAATCTTCTTAAAAGCTAAATTCAATTTAATTATTTAGATCAATCCATAATATACCTCACTACTTTAATAATTATGTGTTAAAATGTTTTTTAATTAAAAATCTAATGTAGTAACTTGTCAAGATAATATTTATGTTTTTCTTTAATCTTATCATCTTTAGCTAAGATCTTTTCATTTTTCCTCCAGTATCATCTGATTTGATCAAAATCACTATTTATACCTTAAAATGTCTCACTATACTCATCAAAGTCCAACAAATATTTTAGATTTCATCTCTCGTCAAGCTTTTTCATTAACTACATTTTCTCCTTCCTTAGCACTTAGTATATTAAATAAATATTCAAAAATTATAGATTTTAATTTATTCAGTACCCTTATATAAAATTTATAGCCTTCTTATGGTCATTATAAACCTTCACATCATTTAATTTCTATTTCACTCCTATATTTGATTTCCTAAATAATTACAATGCCTCCTCACTTGCCCAGTTAACATACACATACAAACCTATTTCTAGATACTTCGAATACCTTCATGATAACTATCTTGATCCAACTAAATGTCTTATATCGCCAAAAACTAACTAATTAAATAAGCTCAAATTTGCACTCTTAGCACCCAACTTAAGAAATTAACTTATGCTTATACCCTGAAATACACATCCATAACTACTACTCATATTGTGTGATTAAACATTTGCATGAAATCACATGAGGGCCTTATCTGGTTGCTTGATTTTAAAACTTATGTTTTGAAAAATAAGAAATATGTTAAATCCATCATTTGATTGGATGCACTCAGACATTAATATTGATTTCAAATTAAATAAGTTTTCTCAAAACTCCCTCAAATATTAATTTCAATTTCACACTCAAAATGAAAAAATGAAATCATTATTTTCTACAACTTTTTTTTATTTATAGCCAATAAAAAAAATCTTATAATCTTTGCAAAATAGATTATTTTTTCTTCTAAATAAAAATAAGCATTTGAATTGTTGGCTTTGATTATGAAGATAATTTCATGCTCTTCACGTTCTTAAAGTATATATTGATTATTGCAATATCATAGACCAAGTATAACTTCTCCCATCACCCTTCAATCACATATTTCATAAACACCACAAATCATTTCAAATCACATACTAAGAGAATATATATGCCCATTCAAATCACCTTCAATATTATCCCTTCTTCCTCAAGTATAAATCATACTAATCACTTTTCTTCCCAAATTAAATTTTCACACTATTTACTACTCCAAGTTGAGGAATATTAAATAAACAAGCATAAACTCTAACTATGTTTAAAATTTCCATGCAAATAATTAATTGAATAATCTCTTGTGATTAGCCCTATTCATTTCACCCTAGTAGTTTTATTTTTGAACTCTTCTCCACATCATAACTCATATTTACGATTAATATTTTCAATGCACAGTAGCTTATAGCATTTACCCTCATGTGAGTGACTTCTTCCCTCTTTCCGTTTAGTTTCTTATAAACAAGCAATCTGTATTTCCTCTTCTAATCATTAAAATCATAAATTATCTTTTGCAATTTAAATCCTTGAATTTCAACTACAAAAATAGTTTTATTATGTCATCAATGTTCTACTTTTATTTGGTGCTCCATGTTAGTCATGTTACTTTAATTGTTAACTATTAACTATATTAATCCATATCCACATCACATCATTGAAACGGAACAAAATTTTTATGTTTATGATAAAACCGTGGATCCATTTAGATTCAGTGTCTTTCTTCACATGTTGGATTGCATTTATAAGAGCAATAGGAAGATGAATCTGATTTCGTTTGGACTAAGCCTCTCCCAAGTCAGCTCATTAGCTTTGTATTTTTCAGTTGTTAACTATTTGCTTAGTAAATTGATTGTCTGATTGTCTATTGATTAAGGCTATGATTCTAGGAACACATTCTTCACCTACACATGTTTTGGCATGTGAGAATATAAAACATTTATGCACAATAATAGAATTTTTTACAGTTATTGATTATTTATCATTAAGTCTATCCTAAAGTCAAGATCTAGACTAACAGTTGCCTTGAGAATTTCAGAAAATTTGTATAAAAATTTGTAGTAAAAATTTGCTGCTAAACCAGTACGTTAATACCATTTGTTTGATTTATATAAGCTCGATATGCTCCACGGCATTGATTATGTAGGGGCTTCACAATTAACATTTGCTTCAAATATAGGCCTTTTTTTTCCCTTAAATGCAAACATCAAACCTCTTTTAATTTTGGGTAGATATCATGCAAAATATCTGACAGCTATACCACGCATCAAACAAATCAACAATTCTAGAAAGCATTCATTTTCATCCCCAACAATTATCTAATTAACCAATTATTCTCTAAAATTAAATAAAAATCTTCATAAAGTATTTTCTTCGCTAAGTATTAAATAATTCATTAATTATTTAAACTAAAATGGTATAATATGGGGATAAAAGTATCCACTTCATAATTTCACAAATATCCCTAAGATGAAACATAAGGTTTCATGATGATCTCCCATTTTCTAAACTTCTCCTGCTCTAGGGTTGAGATTCATCTACTATTCACATAAAGAGTATTATGTCACATTCCTTAAACTCAGTACACTAGCCAACACTCTATTGATGTAGAACCTTTGCTACCTCAAGCACCACCCACAACCCCTACCACCACCACCACCCATAAAGTGTCAGTAAAATTCATATGACATTCACATGAACGACAACATGAATGAAAAGTGATCAATGAGACAGAGAGGTCATCAAAGGACTGCTTGACGAAGCAAGCATAAGGGTAGTCACCATGGTCGCAAATGTGGGTCTCAATCTTCGAAAGGAACACCACTTGTATATACCCTTGTCGCTTCGTAGATTCTTTCAATGGACTAGAGCTTATGCTATCTAGTTTAAAACATACACATATTTTATTGCACATATGATAGATTGCTTTTTTTCAAATAGTTGTTCAGCTTAGATGTCAAGTTTTGTTGAATCGAAGAATGACAATTCTATTATCAAGACACCAAAGAATTAGATCCCTACTAATTCATCGAATGTCGTAGCTGCATATTACTGTTGTTATTAAAACAACTAAATTAAATACTATTTTTCACATGAACTATTAATATTCAACTATAAGGACTGTTTTCCAATCCATTCCAACACACAAGGAGAAGAGAAGAAGAAAACAAGCAAATAATCATCACTGAGGGATCAATTATTTGAGGAGGATAAGGCCAAAAGAGCAATTTTGACTGAGATGCATAAATAGAGGAGGATGTGGCCTAACAAAATACCAATACGGACTACAAGTAAAATGCATGTCATCTACGACAAATGAAGCCTATGGACGATGATGAAAACAAAAAACCAGCACAAATCCATGAGTCATATTTGAAAGATGGAGAAAAGACAGTTACCAAGAGGACAATGAGCAAGAGATTTTGGCTATCAAAAGGAAGATACAATTAGCTTAATAGAACACCCTTCATAATGGAGGGGCTTTCGTGAAACAATCTTCTCTATGAAAAATCAAATGAAAAGTATTTTAAACACGGTCCCACATAAAGGATATTATAAATCGCAAGGACAACCAATGATATGTATAATTTAATTTAAACATTTAATTACATATTATTTTTAGAAATTTTGATTGTTCAATTGATCTATGTATTTATTTAATATTTAAATGCCTTCTAATGATTTATACTTCTAATATTAGAAGTGTCTACAGCTATTGTATGCTTAAGAATATTAAAGGTCAAGGTTGTCATAAGCATAAGAGTAAAGTGATTCATAATCTCATGTTCGCCAACTTCATATCATTACATTAGGTCTTCGATTCATCATTGTTGAACTAAATATCTACACTCTTTTTATCTACTAGGTACTTAAATGTGCATGTCATTGTCATTTAAGTCCGCTTTGCAAAATTTCCTCAATATTTATAGTAAGCTTTCCCAGTAAATTGCTTCTACTACATAGAACTTTCCTTAGGTTTATACTTTTATGTTACATCATGGAAAATAATCAATCATGTTCCTACATTTTTGCATAACTGATTATTACTAATGCACTTAGTGATGCTTACCATACAAACTTTTATATAGCATATTTGTTGCATTTAAGCATTTTCTATCGCGCATCTGAAAATATCATGTCCCCAATGTATTGCATAGCTTCTTAAAACTTCTAATAAAATACCTTGACTAAAACCTTGGACTTTCCCATAACTTTGACAACTTCGCCGACGTATGATCCTGGCTCTTGCAGCAATTGCAACTCTTCTCTCAATGCTCTAACTGCAATTACAAAATTAGATAGAGACTTGAGTATGCAAAGCAAAACAGAAGCAACAATAACTATATTAATTGAGAAGTGTTTCAAATGCAATTAATTTGCTTGTAATAGTTAAGAAGTAATGATAATTCTTCATCAAAAGGTCATGTTTGGAAAAACGGAATAACTTCAACAGAATACAACTATAGATACAAGATCCATGAAGTCCAATGCAAATAGAAAGAATCATTAAGCAGCTTAAATTCAGCCTCCTTAAGACCAGTGCCCATAATGGGGTATCCTTCAGCATCTTCCTGTAAGCAAGCTAGGAGAAAACACAATAATCCACGAATAAAGAAATTGTGATCATGTTCAATAATGGTATTTCATACAATTAAGATTACAAGATCCATGAAGTTGTGAACGGAAAGAACGGACTTCAAAATTAGATCAAGCAAGAGGATCAAAATTCATGATGTGCACTTAGGGTTTCAGCCTGCGGCTCCCAAACACAACTGAAGCTCAATTTTAGGTTAGAGGTAGGTTTAGGTTTAGAATCCGTTTAGGGTTCGGAAGCAAAAAGAAGCTAACCTTTCGCGTTGAGATCGTTGCGCTGCGCCTCGAGACGGTTGAGATTGTGGGACTTCTGCCGAACCTGAAGCTGCAGATCGTGTATGTGCTGCAAATAGTACTGCCTAAGTCCCTCTCCTCCGCCTCCTCTCGTCTTCGTCGACGGCGATCGGATCTCTCCGTCCGCCTCCCGCTGCGGCAGAACTTGCGTAGCCATTTCTCGCCGCCGATTGTCGACTGTAGATTGACCAGATGTTTTTGTCAATAAGTTTGCATTTTATTTTATTTTTGTTTCAATAAATTTTATTTTTAATTGACGTGAATAATGAAGCCTATTTAAATATATTTATTTAAATTGTAAAAAATAATATATTTGAAAAAATTATGCCTATCATAAATCATATAAAATCAAAAGATAAGATACGGTTTGGGGCAGCCGTAGCTTATTGAATAATTTATTGATAAGTTGATTAAAAATAATCTATTGATAAACTAGGTGCGATGTCTAATATAAATTTTTATTTTTTGAAAAAGTCAAATCACTGCTAGAAAGTTGTCACCATATATAAATAGATGCAGTGTAAAAACATTGTTTTCAGCATTTTAAAAATGCATAAGCTGCAAAAACACAATTTACCCAAACAAATCATGTGCGTTTTCAGAACGCCATCGCACCAAATAGACTGCCCCAAACGAGCCCTTAGATATATATAATATAAAATTCATATGCATTTACATATTAACATTGAAATTTTAATTTTTATATTTATAACACTTATTGAAAATGGGATTTGAAATATTTAATTGTTATAAATAAAAATGTTAAAGTTAAATGTTATGTATGTAAATACATTTGAATTTTGTTGTATGTATGTAAATTCCCCAATCAAATTTCACCAAAAGATTCACATGCATACCACTCAATTCTTATGCATTCACATATCAAACATTTATACTTCAATTATTACACACACATATATATCATTTTATCTATTGATTAAAATACATATTTTATTTTAGATGATTAAAATTTTGAAACATTTTAGTGATATAAATGTAAAAGCAGAATTTAGAAAGTGGATACGTCAATACATAAAAGTTAGGTGGTTCGTATGTAAATGGGTTCAAGGTACTCCATTCCGACCGACCGGAGGTCTTTGGTCGAGACGACAGCAGTGGGCAACTCTTCTCAATTTCTTTTCGGTTTCCCCTCTCCCAGCCTCCCAGCTGGAGCGAAACCTTCCGATTACAGATGGTCTACTACCTGCTTTCCATCTCGGCGGAGCTGGAGAACCTCACGGATCTCCAGCCTTGCGGTGGCTGCGACGATCCAAACTTTTCTTACTACTTCAAGGTTTCGTTTCTCTGCCTGCCAACCTCGGTACATTCTTGTCTTTGTTTTTCCCTAATTCATCTGGATTTGAATGCCATCAGGTGAAGTGCGAGAGCTGCGGGGAGATTAGTCAGAAGGAAACGTGCGTCATGATATCTGAAGTTGTTCCCCTTCCAACTGGCAGGGCAACTGCTCATCTGGTGCAGAAGGTCATGAGCTTCTAATCTATTGGATTTATCTTGTTTTCTGGTGAATCTGCATCTGTTCGTTACCTTGCATTTTCTTGCTTCTGTTTGGCGAATTCATCAATATGGATTTAGGTTATTGGATGGAAGTGATGAAGATGCATATTCTAGGTGTTTTTGTTTTTCTAATCTAGTTTTCATTTTTGGGATTATGGATGATTTGAGGAGAGTGTTGGGGATCGGAGTTGAGCATTCTATTATGTCGATAGATGCCTTTTGAAAATGGCGCGGATAATGCTATCGATCATTTGTTCTTAGTGAGAATATTTTAATTATCTTTTGGTAAATATCTTGGATGATGAATTGTTTCTTATTAGCAGCATTTAGATACATAGCACACAATTTTTATGTATTTACATATCTCACCCCTAAACTTTCATATTTACACACATAGCACTCAAATCCTTAATATCACATCAAAAATATCACTATTCTTTGTTGTGCTAAGAGTGTGTTATGAACCGTGGCCGCCTGCCTGGTTTGGTTAGTGGGGTCGGCTCCTCCGTTGTGGGTAAACGGAAACTCGACTCTAGGAACCCGAGGAAAGGCTGCACAGCTTCCGTGGGAGCATGAAAACCGGAGCTTTATACACCTTTTCATGCATAGGTTTAAAGTACCGAAGTGTTATTTATGTAAAATATGAAAGTTTAGGTTTGAGATATATAAATACATTAGAATTATGTGCTACATATGTAAGTTTCCCTTATTATTATCTTGGATGAATATTTTTTCAATTCAAGGAAAAATATTGAATTCTGGTGCATCTTTTCATGTTGGTGGAAGAGAGATTTATCGTAAAAGGAAAAGAGTGATGCCATCATCAAGACTTTTTTGGTTCAAGAAAAAGCTAAATATTATAGATGGAGGAAAAAGAATGTTCACTCCTTTCTCGAACTCCCTTACCATACACTAATTTCTCTAGTTCTCTTTTACTCTTTGGAAGATTTACATATATAATACTCAATTTCCATGTATTTACATATCTAACACCTAATCTTTAATTTTACATACATAAAACCTTACTTATGCATGAAAAGATATATTCCACTTTTTAAAAATTAAAAAGCATGGTATTTTTTGTGTGATATGAAAATTTTGGATGAAATAAATGTAAAAAAGCAAAGTATAGATGTTAAATATGTAAATACGTAGCCCTTGGGTGGTATGTATGCCAACACCCCTTACTCAACAATCTCAAAATTTTCTAATCCCCTCAATCAAGTATTCACCCATCCAAAGTTCTTCTTTATAAGTCACGGGAGTCAGTTACAAGAGGTGAGTATCAAAAGTAAAGAAAAATAGTTAACTCTCTCACATAAAATCGAAGATATGTTATCTAGAACTTTACTTTGTTACTGAGGGGGCAACAATAATATGTTTGTTGGCCTTTGGCTTCCAAGTTGATTCGAGAATATCCACTTGGTTTAACAAATTTGTTGACTTGTTCAAATTTTGTCGTGAACTCCTCAACCGACAACCCCCCTTGATGTAAGTGATGTAGCCTCTAGAATATGTCCTAACGTTAATGTGGGCATAGATAATTCATCCACTTCTCATTTTTCACCTTCTCCCAAGTAGTAATTTTGTTTCGACCTCTCTATCTCTCTCTTTTAGATTCTCCCACCACAACGAGGCATTTTTTTAGCTTTATGACAACAAGCTTCATTCTTCTATCAACTGACACCTCCTTGTATTCAACAATCATCTCGACTGTCTGCAGCCACTCAACAAAGTCATCTAGATTCATTCACTCATTGAAATCCGATAGGTCTACCTTCACTTACAGGTATCTCTGTCCTCTAATAGTCACTTCATCCCTCAACTTTTTCTGATATTGAATCCCAAAACTTTGTGGCCTACCTTCCTCTTTACTAGAATCATCCTCATGGAAGGGATTAAAAAAGTTTCTCCCTCTCCTTGAATCTCGCTATCATGATCGACAGTGACCTCGCAATGGGTCTTTTCATCAATTTCAGAAAGCCATTGTTGAAGTCGGTGGAGTTGCTGTTGCACTTCTTCCATGGTATGTTTACGAACGGTGTCTGGCATTTGTTTCCTCAGTGACATGATTGGGGTTTAGTTTTAGGGAGATTAAAGAGGGTGTATGGGGGTTCTTTAGAGTGGGAAAGAAAATTTTGGGTGTCTAATTTGAAAAGGGATGGTTTTGGATGGAGTTTGGGTTGGCTACGGTGGGTTTTTGTAACTCTAGGGTGGGAATAGAGCTAGACTAGTTTTGGTATCAAATGATACTGGAGCGTTGGGGGGCTATTTAGGGGTGGCAACAGGTATGTGGATGGCTGAAACAACAGGAAAACAGCTTAACAGGGCGGTTTTGATGGCAACAACAAAGGGATGGGAGGAAGACGACTGGTACCGCTGAAAAGCAATGAAGAGTCACATTCGGGGTGGTTGCAACAAGGGAGAAAGAGACAAGGAACATTGCGGAAGGATGCAAAAGGGTAGAGGAAGGATAAACACCATCTTGAGTGAGAGATACATCCAGAACACCACTCAGACCCTTGGGTACAACCTTCGAAGAAAAAAGAGAGATGCCGACGACTGTCCTGAACAAACAAACGACAAAAATTGAAAATTTAACACGACAAAGCAACATGTTATGCACTAGATAACTAGGAATGGCTCCATTCCAATTGGATGGCTGTTCCTTGGCTTGAAGGGCCGCCTGACTCAGAATCCTAGACCGGTTTGGTCTAGATGTGGGGATGTTACTCCTGTGCCCGTCACCCATGAAGCCCTCGTCAGTTTTTCTTCTTTTTTTTTTTGTTTTTTTTACAGTATTTATACTAATTATTTTCAGTTGTGTGCTCTCCTATTGCAAAATTGTGCTGCTTTTTCATTCATAAAAAACAAAATAAAGTTTATCTTATTTTCTTTATTTATTCATTTCAACAATATTATTACTCCATAACCCATTCGGTTAATATGAATTGAATAACACATTTTTAGTACGAACCAAGATGATTTTTTGCAGAAAGTATGAAAAACAAATATGTTCTTCAATAACAGAAACAAAAAAAAAATCGAATACGTAAAGATAAGCACTTATAATTTGAGAGGTATGTGATCTCTTTTAAACTCCCCCTAACACTTGCAAATTAAGAGATAGGTGATGTTTTTCAAACTCTAATTTTAAGACTTAGGCCCACATCAACCGACAACCCCCCTTGATGTAAGTGATGTAGCATAGATAATTCTTCCACTTCTCCTTTTTCACCTTCTCCCAAGTAGTAATCTTGTTTCGACCTCTCTATCTCTCTCTTTTAGATTCTCCCACCACAACGAGGCATTTTTTTAGCTTTATGACAACAAGCTTCATTCTTCTATCAACTGACACCTCCTTGTATTCAACAATCATCTCGACTGTCTGCAGCCACTCAACAAAGTCATCTAGATTCATTCACTCATTGAAATCCGATAGGTCTACCTTCACTTACAGGTATCTCTGTCCTCTAATAGTCACTTCATCCCTCAACTTTTTCTGATATTGAATCCCAAAACTTTGTGGCCTACCTTCCTCTTTACTAGAATCATCCTCATGGAAGGGATTAAAAAAGTTTCTCCCTCTCCTTGAATCTCGCTATCATGATCGACAGTGACCTCGCAATGGGTCTTTTCATCAATTTCAGAAAGCCATTGTTGAAGTCGGTGGAGTTGCTGTTGCACTTCTTCCATGGTATGTTTACGAACGGTGTCTGGCATTTGTTTCCTCAGTGACATGATTGGGGTTTAGTTTTAGGGAGATTAAAGAGGGTGTATGGGGGTTCTTTAGAGTGGGAAAGAAAATTTTGGGTGTCTAATTTGAAAAGGGATGGTTTTGGATGGAGTTTGGGTTGGCTACGGTGGGTTTTTGTAACTCTAGGGTGGGAATAGAGCTAGACTAGTTTTGGTATCAAATGATACTGGAGCGTTGGGGGGCTATTTAGGGGTGGCAACAGGTATGTGGATGGCTGAAACAACAGGAAAACAGCTTAACAGGGCGGTTTTGATGGCAACAACAAAGGGATGGGAGGAAGACGACTGGTACCGCTGAAAAGCAATGAAGAGTCACATTCGGGGTGGTTGCAACAAGGGAGAAAGAGACAAGGAACATTGCGGAAGGATGCAAAAGGGTAGAGGAAGGATAAACACCATCTTGAGTGAGAGATACATCCAGAACACCACTCAGACCCTTGGGTACAACCTTCGAAGAAAAAAGAGAGATGCCGACGACTGTCCTGAACAAACAAACGACAAAAATTGAAAATTTAACACGACAAAGCAACATGTTATGCACTAGATAACTAGGAATGGCTCCATTCCAATTGGATGGCTGTTCCTTGGCTTGAAGGGCCGCCTGACTCAGAATCCTAGACCGGTTTGGTCTAGATGTGGGGATGTTACTCCTGTGCCCGTCACCCATGAAGCCCTCGTCAGTTTTTCTTCTTTTTTTTTTTGTTTTTTTTACAGTATTTATACTAAGTTATTTTCAGTTGTGTGCTCTCCTATTGCAAAATTGTGCTGCTTTTTCATTCATAAAAAACAAAATAAAGTTTATCTTATTTTCTTTATTTATTCATTTCAACAATATTATTACTCCATAACCCATTCGGTTAATATGAATTGAATAACACATTTTTAGTACGAACCAAGATGATTTTTTGCAGAAAGTATGAAAAACAAATATGTTCTTCAATAACAGAAACAAAAAAAAAATCGAATACGTAAAGATAAGCACTTATAATTTGAGAGGTATGTGATCTCTTTTAAACTCCCCCTAACACTTGCAAATTAAGAGATAGGTGATGTTTTTCAAACTCTAATTTTAAGACTTAGGCCCACAATATCATATAACCTACAATAATAAATAATAAATAATAAATTACTAAATTGTCCTTAAGTGACGACGTAACAATACTCCCCTCCAAAAAGATACTTTGTCTTCAAGGTGGCAAAAAAGAAGCTGCTACTGGATCAAGTCGTTTGACTCGCATGTGTCGCCCTCATCTGGTATTCCTTTTTTTTTTATTCAGAAATTCGTAGTGACCCTTATTTGTTCGAAATGCAGTCTTTTGCACATTCTTCGGCCACATCCAAACATGTTGGTACAATGACTTCAAGTCAATCTTAGAGACTAATGCAACCCAAAAAAACTCCTTCAATAGCTCATCGATTGTCGTAATCTTTACCAACTTTGTATCACGTCTCTTCCATGCTTTGCAACTCGATCCAAAATCCTAGCCTTGTGCCCTGAATTGCCTTCATCATGATCTTGAACTTTATCGAAGTCTTGCACAAACTGAGGTCCCTACGAAGGACCCCAACCTTGCCTCCCTTTTGAATACTTTGCAGCGTCAAAATCAGTCTCTTACACTTTCCCTTGCATTTCTTCATTTGTCTCGTTCCCATCATTACTTCTGAATCGCCTTTTGCCAGTAATGCTGCAACACCAAAAGACACTGACACAATTGGATGCAACTTTGCGCAGAGGTCCCACCCACCATGATTCCCAGTTCCAAAATCCTTCGAATTGATCTTCTCCAGCCCTGAATCTCAAGTCATCCTATTTCGCCTGCCACTGCTCATTCCAAACCTTTCAAATGTCGTGCAATTCCCTTTAGATGTTACCGCTCGAATCCACTCTAGATTCCTTTGTTGAATTGCACATGCTTCCAATCGATCCAATTGTCTGGATGTCACACTATTCCTTCTAGGTTCTTTCACTCGAGTTTGCTTCCATTTTCTTCGCTTGATCTCACAGCTCTCGAGACACCATGCTAATCTTCCTGAATGATACAACTCGCGTTCGCTTCTGATTCCTTCACTCGATACGACAACTCTAGCTCTGCCTAAAGTAACAATGCTGCCCTGATGTCACATAATTTCTTGAGATTGTTGTTTCTCACGTCCATTACAGACGTCTTCAATTAAAAAAAAAAAGAACACTCAATCCGAATACAAAAAGATAAACCCCAACAATTTGAGATGTACACGATCTTGCTAAAATCCTAACCCAAACACCTAGAATTGGAGAGGTACGCGATCTCTTCTAAACTCTGAAACTAATACTCAATATTGCAATCTCGTTGCATAACCCCAATCCTAAATATATTAGCCCTATTTATGCCTCACAATAATAAATAATAAATTACTAATTGCCTTAAGCGCCAAGGTAACAGTTCTCTCTAAGTTAACTTTTAAAGCCAGTAATATGCATGAGGCATTTACATACTTATCACCCAATTCCTACATATTTACACATCTATCACCTAAGCTATATTACATTTATGGCACACAAATCTTTCATATCACATGAAAAAATACTACTATTTTAACTTAAAAAAATAAATGCACTTTTTCATGCATAGTTAGGGTGACATATATGTAAAAATTGAACTTTAGGTGTTAGATATGTAAATACATAAGATCTAAGTGTTATGGATGTAAATCTTATATATGAGCATTTACACTTCGGTCTATCCGTGGAATCTGCCTCATACCTAACTGCAGGATTGTCACCATAATCTCTTAATTTTGTGCAGAGCAATTGTTACACTTCAATTGAGAGTTGTTGTATTTAATAGCTTAGAATTTTACTTAACTCAAGCGCTTTATTAGTGTAAACTGTGTGGACGAGAGGGAAGCATTCAGATGATTACAGGAGAGGGTCAACCATTGACTCTAGGGCAAAGTGAAAGAGAAGAATTTTCCAGGTTGATGATTTTTGATGGCAGGGGTCTTGCGCCCACTGATTTCTCTTTCTCTGATGGTTGGGAAGCTCAATCTGTAAGTCACAACACTGTTCTAATTACATACGCAACACACACTTCTCATGTATTTACTTATCTCACACCTGAACTTTCATATTTATATACATAGCACTTTGGGGTTTTAAACCTTTGCATCACAAGTTGTATTTTACTTTTAAAAAATGATAATGTTGCTATTTTTTATGTGATATTAAAGATTCGAATGCTATATGTATAAATATGAAAGTTTAGGCGTGACATATGTAAATACATAAGAATTGCATGCTTTGTATGTATATGCCCCTTGGGAGATTTACATACGTAGCACACAATTCTTATCTTTTTACATATCTCTCGCCTAAACTTATTCACGAAAGTATGTATTTCACTTTTAAAATTGATAATAAGGCCATGTTTAATGTGATATTAAAGATTTGAGTGATATATGTTTAAATATGAAAGTTTAGGTGTGAGATATGTAGATACATAAGAATTGTGTGCTATGTATGTATATGTCCTTCATTAGGCTTACATATACAGCACATAATTCTTTATGTATCCTGTATTTACATATCTCACACCTAAACTTTTATATTTACATAAATAGCACTTTGCCGTCACTTTGTTGTTTTAAAATTATGCATGAAAATTTGCATTTCACTTTTAAAAAGTGATAATAGTGTTATTTTTGATGTTATATTAAAGATTTGAGTGTTATATGTGTAAATATGAAAGTTTAGGTGTGAGATATGTAAATACATAAGAATTACGTGCTATTTATGTATATGCCCCTTTTGTATTTTTTTTTCTGATTTACTCGCATTATGGTGTCATTTTGATTTCTTTATGGCGGCATGTTTTGCTTTTGGACTTTGGAAAAGTAATTATTGTTGCATTGCTGCTTCATCATTTGATTTGTTTCTTTTAGTAACAAATAGTATCTCATTAATTTATGATGCAGCTAGCAAAAGAGAAATTCTTGCGGTAAACTCTTGTAAAACCTAACGATTTTTGCATCACTTTTCCACTTTTTTTTGGTCTGATAAATTAAATGTAATGCTATCTAATTTCATTTTATGTCGACAGACCGTTTTTTGTTTGCATGAAACCTAATAGAATGGCGAATTTTGAGGATATTGGGGAAATTTTAATTTATTTCTTGTAGGGAAGTTCAATAATAAAATGGTTCACGGATAATTGTGGTTCGAGAGTTGAAAGTTAAAATTTGTTGAGATGAAAAAATTAATTATATGAATACTTTGAAGTTAATTTTCAATGAAGATATTATAAATGTGTTTATGTTTATGCTTTTTAAATTTAATTAGGGGCTAATTAAAAAAAGTAATTATGGGAAGTAATATATGAACTATTAAAACATTTATCCGAGAAGGGACAATAAATACCGCAGATGGCTTCAATATATTGGTATTAGTAGGATAAGTTATGGGAGGATTTATGGTGGATATCTAAATGAGATATAAATATGATGACGGAAACCGTATTTGATTTTGCAACAGTATGTAAGCTTGATATACCATGCATGTAAATATTAAAGTCAATTTATTTAAATGTGTGCTTTACATGCAAAGTGAAGCGATTCGTGTGATACCCACTTCGCTTCGCTGAAGCGCGCTTTGAATATCTAAAGCAAAACAGTCAGTTCGGTTCACAGTTTAACGATAGAGAATAAAGGGTTGCTGAGTTAAGTTAGCTTGTTTTATTGAACTTGAGACTTTATTTGTCTATTTATGCTTTAAAATTTAGATTTTGTTTCGAGATAATTTTTATTTTTTTTGTAATGTTTAAGCTTTTTAATTATTGCAACTAACTATTATAAATTATTCAAAATTTTAGTTTGCAGGTTCACCCTCAATGTTTGCTTTTTAAGTTAGGTATTGCACACATTATTTTCTATTTTATATAAATTTTTAATTCATACTTTTTATTTTATAATTTTTAATGAAAGTATTTATTCATTAATAGTTTAGTTTTTAATAACCCTGTGTTTTGGTCTAAAAAAAAAAAAAAAAAAAAAACTTGTGCATCACATTGTGCTTTACGTTTTGATAATACTGATTAAAGTTTAGGGTTTATCAACAACATAAGAATTGTGTGGAATGTATGAAAATGCCACACACACACACACACACATATATTTCTGTATTTTTTTTCTATAATAATAAATATATTTTTATTTGTTGTAGTTGGCAGGCACCACTTTCGACGTTGATCTATCTGCTGGGGAGTTTGCAGAGTATGATGAGAAGGGGGAATGCCCTGTTGGAATAACCAATGTGCGCGCCAACTTTAGCGTGGTAAGTTGAAATGAAAAGGGTGGGTTTCTGATCCCACTGCTTTGCAAATTTCTTTTGTTCTATGACAGCATCCACTGCTACATGATAAAAGACAAGACACAGAGAAAGAAGAGAATGATAGACGGGCAATTAATGGTGGGGATCTAATACAAAAAAAAAATTCATATTTATATGCATGCCCCTCAATTCTTTAACATCACATTAAAAGTACCTCTATCACCCAACATTTGAATTTGATATTTACATATCTGAATTATTCATTTTATTTGTCATTTTATTATAGCACTAGTTTGAATTAATACTTTTCTCTCCATAATAAACAAGATGGCTTGTGAGCCAGTGTCAAATTCATAGAATTAAGCATGAGCTCGAATTTGAACATGGTTAATTAATCAAGCTCAATTTGAGGAGGCTCGAGTTCAACTCAACTCATTTATACCCCTAATGGTGAGTAGTTTGCTTGTGTTCATGAGGAAGTGCGGCTTAGGGTTAACTTGGGGTGGCATAATTTGAGAAGCTTTTTTGGTATGGTATTAAGTGGGTTTCAATGCTTAGGACATTGGCTTGGGAGGGATGTTAAATATGAAAGCATGGGAAAATTCACAAACAAATGACAAAATTCTTATATATTTACATATTTAATACTTAAAATTTGATATTTATATTTATAACAAATCTATGCATGGAAAGGTGTATGTTGAAGATTTGAGAGTTATGACTGTAAATATGGAAATTCAGTTGTTAGCTACCTAATTATATAAGAATAATACTAAATTATAAACCATATGGATATTATAAAAAAGTAAGCTGATTTAATGAAAGTATTTTGAATTTCTCTTGATTTGCTGCATTAGAGAAATTATTTTATTTTTTTTCGATGAGCTTCGAGCATTAGATCTTTCAGGAAGAAAATGTCTATTCATTGGATCATCATCTGATCTCATCTCAGCTGCTTATATTTTGTTTCAGCTTACAAGTGGTGATGAATATGTGCAGGTGAAGAAGCGGGAGCGAGGGGGGAAAGATGTCTATATTTGAAATAATGGTGGTACCCCTTCTAATATGTTTTTGCGAACTTTATTGATGCCTATCTCAAATCTTTATAATTTTTTTTTCTTAATATTTGGATTAGCCTTATATTTTGTTGTATGCCTAGTTTTTTGTTTTTTTTTGGGGGCTATCATGGTCATGAGAAAAATTTCGTCTGGACACAATATATCCAGACGACCAACCACTGGCCTTCATTCCGCCATACACATCATCGACCGACGATGAGGCGGCTGGTGTGTGGCCGTGCAGACGTTCAAACGGAATTTTTTTCCCATCGCCACAGGACAATAGGATCAAGAGTGAAAGCCTTTTCTCTTAACCATAAGTGCCACATAATATTTATATATTTACATATCTACAATTAAATAGTCATATTCATATGTATACCACATAAAATTTGAACATCACATCAAATATGTTAAATTTTCAAACTTTTGGTATTAGATATGTAGATAACTAAACATTGTGTTAAGTATGTAGGCTTTTTATTTTCTATTTTTAATGTTTTCACAAAGCAAAGAAGTAATGATTTGAACAGATCATACAAATCTTATGCATTTGCATATTTAATATTTAAATTTTTATATATTTTTCTTATAATATTTTAGTGTCATAAATTTAATGGACAGAGAAGTAATGATTTGAACAGATCATACAAATCTTATTCATTTGCATATTTAATATTTAAATTTTTATATGTTTTTCTTATTATATTTTGGTGTCATAAATTTAATGGACAAATGCATCACTTTTTCCTAAGAATGTGCTTGAGGAGATTGTAATTTTTTACTAAGGTGATTGAAAAGAATTGTATGATCTGTTTAAATTGATACACCAATAAATCTCTGTTATCCAACATGAATCTCGAGGTAATCTTTAGAGTAAAAAATATTTAGACTTTGATTAAGAGTTATTTAGAGTTATGATTTCAATAAATTTATAGTCAGACCAGTTCGATGAGACGGACTCGATGATATCAAAATTGTTTTAATGTAAGTCAAATTAAGTTCAAATCAAATCATTAAAATATATTTGAAAGTTTTTCAGACATATTTGAAAAGTCAAACGAATATCGAATCCGACAAGTTCATAGTCGAATTGAGCATCGCGGTAAGACAAATCCAATGAGCTTAAGTTCGCTCAATTCAAATATCATTCGGGTACTCAAATATTCATAAAATGTTGTATAATTGAAGAAAGCTTTTTGGATTGTTTAATTAAAGTAGTTTATATCCCATCATTAATTATAATTTAAATTTTATGAATAGAAACTCACGCCTCTCATAGAGAATGGGAAGAGAGTTTAAACTTTACCGACCACTAGTGGCCGACTACCACTCGTTGCCCATCACCGACCACCACCTGCCGGCCATTGCTGATCATCATCGACTGCCGCCCACTCCTTCCGACGAAACACCGTGCGAAGCAATAGCTGACATCACGGAACCACATCACGGAACCATGAAGCAACTTGCAAAGAGAAGCATCATCCTGACACCGGGAAGCCTCGTTATAGCCGTAAATTTTATAGCACACATCAACAATCAAAATACAACAAAATCTACACGTGGAGTTCGCATATAATAATTTTCCCCTCAAACGTGACTCCTAGTATTAATAGTAACCTTTTTGAAATGTATCTTTAAGCTTTTATTCACTCTTCAAAAGAAAAAAATATATATTAATGTAGATGAATAAATGTGAATTTAGTGATATTGTGATAATATTATGGTGATATTTATTACAATGTTATATCAATAACATCAAATTGTTTATTTCTATTTGACAGCTAATATTCTCTCGTCTAAAAAGGTCTGATCTGTAAGTTCAGCCTCCAGGCATAATATTTTTTCATTAATCTGAAAGTATTGGTCACATTTTATCATTTATTTTACTTTATTTTATTTTATATAGTATACTGGTACATACGCGCGGAGGGCTACGGGGAAAATATGACAAAGTGTGGGGCTAAAAAAGTCATTTTAGAAGCTCATTGAATCCGGTCACCTCCATAGACTCACCGCATCTTGTATGCAGGAAGTTTCGTTATTCTACGTGGGGCCTTTCTAACTACATGTCGGTTACCAGATGGCAACAACAGCTGGAACAGGCTGTCCGTAACCTGGCCGTCCTGTTTCTCAGCACCTGTTCTCTGTTTCCTCTCTCTCTCTCTCTCTCTTCTTCTTCTTCGTCCTCACCGTACGCTCTCCCCTACCTCGGGCTAGGGTTTCCGTTCTATCTCCAAAACCGATTTTGATACCAGAGAACTTGATCGGATTCAAACTCTATGCCACGGGAGCTTCTGTTTGAGCTCGGTATTGATGAATTCGGCTTAGTTCCTGGAGACTAGGGTTTCAGATGAAGAAGGGCGGCCCTGGAATCTCTTCATTGTGAGTATCTTTATCTCTTTATGATTTCATTTGTTTGGAGGTATTTTCATTGGGGGTGATTCGCTTGTTGATGATCCGAACAAGCTGTTAAATGTTAGTTGGTATTCGTCCTTGTCTGCTGCGGTAGAGTTCTAGGGTTCTAATTCTCTTATAAATATGTTCATCCTAAATTGTTGGATTATATATTTGTGGTTGCATTCCTTATGATTATTATTATTTTTTCGCTTATGGTATTTGATTGAGAAACTGATTTCTACTTTGAATCCAGTTTGGAATTTTGAAGCGCTGGCTTTAGTTTGAATTAATTAAATTTTGGCTTTCCTTTGCGTTTGGTCATGCATAATTTCTTGAATTTTCGTAGTGTAAACCCCTATTCATCTGTATTAGGGTTGATCAGGACATCATGAGAGCCATAACTGGCTTCACGAAGTCACTTATATTCATTTGTATTACGTTTTACATTTATACCACCCAAATCATTCATGTCACATCAAAATTACCACCATTTTAACTTTTTTAAAACTGAAATATACCTTTTCATGCATAGGTAAGGAGGCATGTATGTAAAAAATTCAACTTTAGGTTTTGAATATGTAAATACTTTGGAATTGAGTGGTATGTATGTAAATCATCCTAAATGAGTCAGCTCAAACTTGCACAACTCAGTTCAAGCTTTAACTTTTAACTTGATTAATCAGGCAAGCTTAAGTTGGGAGTAGTTTAGGCTCTACTCAACTTGTTTACATTGCCAATTCCGCTTCTATTGCAAGCTGAACATCATAGAATTCTTAAAAAACTTTCACAACATGACAATTTCGAACTGCAACACCTAAAATTTTGATGAATTTTTCGGGCAACTCCTATGAAGTTTAACTCGAAGTTCATTTATTTGCAACCAAGAACTTCAAACCTATGGATTTGCTTGATGATTTTTATCTTCTTGTCCTCAATGTTGATTGTAAGGGTAATTGTCGCTTACTCCAGTGATGTTATATTTGTAGAAAAGCTCCTCAAACTTGTTCATTGAGATCTTCATATGCAACTCCTCTTGAAGTGATTTTATTACATAATTGTCCGCCGTAAAATTCCTTTTTCTCTTAGTTCAGGCCAGGGTTGTCTCATTGGTATTAAAAGTCGTGACTTTGGGACTTGATTGACCAACAATTTCACTAACATGTTTGGCTATTTCGATGAATTTATTGATTTATTCATTTTGCCAACAATTTACTTGTGAGAACTCTTTCATCACCATAATTCCAACATTTTTAGCGGCTTTGACATACGTTTATGATTTTATCCACCTCTAGTTGGACTGTTTTGAGAAGATTGTGCTTGCTAATAGTCGAAATTGCTCCATATGCTTAAACATTTCTCTGGATCAGCTTTGAGATGTTGGAGATCAACTCAAATATTAGCCCCTTCTTTTCAAGAGAATTAGTTGCTAACTGCCCTAAAACATGTTTGTCATTTATGAAAAAAGAATCCAAAATTTTGAACTTGCTACAATCGAAGATTGCTTAAATATTGTTGATAACCATTTTTTGCGAGCTCGTGTACTTCAACAATCTTTGTTGTACTGCTTCTTAGTATCAGCCTCCTTAGGCTTAGGGTTTCTAGTAATCATTTATTTGGTACCTCCCAAGGGGCAGGAACTGCCATTCTAACCCTTCTTGGGGGATGAAAATCTCACGTACGGTTCTAGAACGGACATTCTTTTTTTGCTTCTTTCGATTGTTTGATCTATATGTTCTTTAGACGAGACACTTTTGAAGATGTAAATATCTTAACAGTTAAAGCAACTCATTGATACCCCCTTTATATCTTCTCAGAAGTTATTTTGATAAAACAAAATTGAGAAGATAATCAATTTCCTCCTTTTACAAGAACATCGAGGAATCATAAACATCTTTAAATCAAACAGTGTTTATTGAAAAAAAAAATGCTCGTGTATTTGTAAACAGTCAATGTTGATGTGCCTCCATTTGTCAAAAATTCAAACATCTTAAAAGGTCGAACATTTTTCACACCATCGACCTAATTTAGATTTTAGTATGAAAGCTTAATTGGGTTGAACAATTTGTTGAATATGAATCATTTAAAGTTCTTTATTGGTAGATAATCATCAGCCAGGCTTGATCGTTACACAACTACATAAATTTACTTGTGTTCTTTTTTGCAATGTCATTATTTTGCCCATACTGTATTGCTAACCTTATTCCTTGCCAATAAATAAGAGATTACCAATCATGCATGAGTATGTGAAATTTGTCACAATCACATACTTTTGACCAAAATGTTGTCAAATTAAATCCACTCGTTATTCTTTTGAATCATCTCTTTTGGCCGATTAAGCATTGGTTTTGGGAGTCTCCTGTGCATGTTTGGCTTAGCAACATTTGCATACACAACACCCAATGTTATGTTTGTGGAGACGAAGCACCAGCACTGAGCAGACACCAAGAGGGGGGCGCTTTGCGTTCGGGCGCTTTGTGTTCCCTTTGGGCAACTAAGCATCCATTTCTGGGCGCAGGTTGTAAGGGGGACGCTTGCGCCCCCTATGGGCGCCCAAGTGCCCAACATTGGAGCGCAACCTGAGAAGTCGGATCTTGAGCGTCGGTCTTGGGAACTCAAGTGCTCAAGTTAATGGGCACAGCTTTTTTGTTTCCCGGGATACCGGCAGGTTTGCGCCAAGTCCGTTGATTACCATGGTTTTTTGGGTTTAAAGTTCAAATTGAAGCGGCAATGGTTATCTCTTTAGTTCGTGAAGTTCCTGTAAGTTGAGTGTTCCTTGACAAAAATCCAGATGAATGTGAGGAGTGTCGGAGAGGACTTCAGTAATTTTGACGGGCATGTCTCGCATCGGATCGAAAGGAAGAGTGTGGAGCGTGTTAAATTTCCTTGTGTGTAGAGAGTAAACTTGTGTAAGTTCTATGTAAAACTTTTTGAATTTTATAGTAGAATTATGTGGTGGCATGGCTCCGTGTTTTTTCCCATTCTATGGTTTTTCCACTTAAAATTTTCATATGCTTTTCTGATTACTTTGTCTGTGCTTCTATTCAAATTTTTGTTCCAGTTTTCTTGAATCGTGTGCGATCCTATTATCCTGTGTTGTTGTTTAGGTTTAATTGATCATAAGCCTTGGTAAATTTGGGAATTGTTCTTGGTATTCCTATCACACAATTCTTATATATTTACATTTCTAATATCTAAACTTTCATATTTACATAAAACAACACTCAAATATTTAATATCACATCAAAAACACACCTTTTCATGCATCATAAGATTATGACATCAAAGTGATATAAATGTAAATACCAAACCTTAGTTATTAGAATGTAAATACTAACAATTGTGTGGGGTGTATCTAACTTTCCCTTTACTTTATTTGTTGAATCAAAATCTTTTGGAGTTTTGAAGTTGTTTAGGCTTTGGAATATTTTTGTATGCGACATTTAATTTACTTGTGTCAGCTTGTAACTTAAAATTTTGGATTTTATGTCATAATGAGGTGCAATCTTTGGGGGGAAAAAAAAAGACATTTTAGAGCATGCGTGTGCCAGTGCTCCTTATATTTTAAAGTAGGTGCATTTACGTAATACCAACCAATTCCTTTGTACTTGCTTATGTAACTCCAAAAATTTATTTTTTTACATTTAAAACCACCCAAATCTTTTATATCACATAAAAAATATCACTATTTTGACTTTTAACTAGTGAAATACATACTTAAGGTGACATATATTGTAAAATTTAAGTTTAGGTGTTAGATGTGTAAATAGGAATTGGGTGGTGTGTAGGTAAATTTTCCTTTTAGTATATACTATAATGTTTTCTTTTTGTACCCAATTATCCTTTCTATGTTGAATTAGTTCCTAGATTATTTTAATGAAGGCTAAAATAATCTTCCTTAAGGATTATTTTAACCTATATTAAAAGAGTGTGGGGGGACTAAATTGATACATTTTAAGACTGAAATGACTACGGAAAAGAGTCGGAGGACAATTTTACTACTTTTACCTTTTCTATTCATGCTGTTCTTGTTCTATGATAATCCAAGTCTTATTAAAGGTTATTATTTTTTTAACAAAATTTCATTTTTCATTTTTCAGGCTTTCTATCAAGCAAGGAATCCTAGAACCAGAACCCTAGTAGTTCTTGAAGACATAATGTTGTTTTAGCAGATAGAACTTTAATAAGTTTTCTCCTCATTGCAAGAGTGCTCTCTTGGTCTGGCTTACGGCGGCGAGCATGCGTGGAATCCGTGCTCCGGCTGATTCCCATGACAAGAGTTGCCGCCGATGCTTTCGGCGTGGCAACCATTGCTCTCGTCGCACTAGCTTCCATTCTCGGACTGCTATGCATCTATCGCTGCATCTACTTCCAACTTCAGATTCAAAGACGAGGATTCTCCCATCTCGGATACTTTAACGGTCCCTGGATCATCCGTGTCGTCCTCATCATTATTTCAATCTGGTGGGGCTTCGGCGAGATCGTTCGATTGAGCCTCCTCAGAGATACTGGAAGGCCTCTCTCCACCACGGCATGGTGCAAGTTCTATGTTCTATCAAACCTCGGATTCGCTGAACCCGTCATCTTCCTCATGCTCGGTTTCTTACTCCATGCTGCGCTACGAAAACGAGACTCTGACTCACTTACTCAGACATGGAATTGGAAGACATTCGTCTCCGTCCTCCTCCTTTCCCTTCCCCTATTATTGTTTCAACTCCTTGTTTTAATAGGACCTCATAGGATGAGGAAGAAGAAGGTGAAGTTCTTCATGACTTCATCATTCCCTCCATTGACTGATACAACCATTTGCACTTACCCCTTACTTAGCACTGTAATTTTGGGATTATTCGATATTTTCGTGATTGCTTATGTTGTTTACATCGGAGCTCGAATGCTATGTTTAGTGATCAACAAAGGGCTGCGACTCAGAGTCTATTTTCTCGCTCTGTCGGTCATCTTCTTCCTCCCACTCCGAGTTCTGTTACTCGGACTCTCGGCTCTGCCTCGTGCTGGAAATATTTGTTATGAGGTGCTCGTATTCGCCGCCTTTCTCATGCTCTTATCATGCAACATGACGGGCATCTGCATGCTCGTGTATCTCCCCGTTGCCGATTCGTTAGCGCTGCGAAAAATCAACGAACATGACACCGAGATTGAGGAGATTCCTTGTAATGATTATTACTGCGAAGGAGCCTCGCTGATCCAGAACGAAAACCATCAGGATTCGACAAAGCGAGGTTCAATATCATTTTGCGCCATTATCAAGGATGATTCTCCTCACTTCCTCCATGGTGTTGAGGAAAGAAGGTCCATTTCTTTTACACCCCTTAATATTGTTTCTTCTGCACAATCTCCTCCTTATGGGGAATAAAAAGATTCTGCATTTCTGTCTTTAGTTTAGTGGGCATCAGATTTTGGGTGAAAGGTTGTAAAAGTAAAGGGTTGTGGTGAAATTTTATACTGTTTATATAAGTAGAGGTTGGTCATGAAATGTACTAATTTTTTTTTGGGAAAGGAATTGTTTTGAGATGAGTGTAATATATGAGAAATTGATTTAAATTTTTATGAGATTTTTCATTTGATTTGTCAGAATATTCTAAGCCAATTTGTTTCTGGTTAGTTAGCTGGAAACTTTCTATGTATTTGTTGAAATAGAAGTAATTTTGGATCTGATCATGCGATGTAGTCGTGATTATAATTTTGGAGAATAACAATAGGAATGTGTATGTGATTGCGTCTGGATTGAAAATTTTAAGGAAGGTTTGCATTCATGCCACCAAATTCCTATGCATTCACATAACCAACACTTCAATTTTTTAGATATTTGATTAGAGTTTATATTTTAAGAGTTTAAATAGTGGTATTCACATGAGATATGAACGATTTGAGTGGTAGAAATGCAAAAAAAAAGCAAAGTTTAGATTGTAGATATGTAAGTACATAGAAATTGGGTGCTAATGTTTGTAAATTCGCCAGACATTAAAATTGTATTTAATTCAATGGTTTGGGGCCTAATCCCATCAGATATTGCATGTTAAGATTTTGGTTCTTCAGAGGTGAGGATTTCTATATCTTCTGATTATTATTGTACACCAATATTTGTTCAAATGAATTAAAGCTCGAAGAGAAATTGTTTGGCAAGCAATCATTCATTTTAAGCTTGCTAGCTTAATTGGTAAAGTATTTTACAAGTTGAAATTGCGACTACATCAAAAAATCTATCACCAAGGGATGAAATTAATCAACATTCTAATATTTTGGTACACATGTCAATCAATGATGGAAGCTCAAAAACAGCTAGTCTCCATTTGCATGGCCCTAGTCATACACTCAAACTTCTTAGCATCGATCTCTATCTAGATCTCTCGAGCAACATTCGACTAAAACTTATCAAGCCAAGCTCGACCAAATCCCTATGAAGGGGATCAAGTCAATAAAGCATTGAAAATCAAAATTGCAAATTTGATCAATTCATATTTGTATTCATAATAACTACATTTAAAAATTAATTATCTATTAATTAGGGTTTGGGCAACTTTTGATAGAATAAGGGCTTGTTTGAGAGTGAGAGAGTTTTGGGGTGGGAGACCTCAAGTTCATGTGATAATGTGAGTTCTCTCCAATAATTTTTACAGAGATTTACGTGCATACCGCTCAATTCTTATGTATTTACATATCTAACAACTACACTTTAATTTTACCATATATAAGCCTCTTTACATATGCCTGAAAATGTGTATTTCACATTTTAAAAGTATTAAAAAAAATGAAATTTTTTTTATCTGAAATGATAGATTTGAGTTGCATAAACGTAAAAATTCAAAGTCTATTGTTAGGTTTGTAAATACATAAGAATTGTGTGGTTTGTATGTAAATGGTCCTAAACTTTCTGCAAAATGAAAGGTGAGCATACAACTCTAGGTTCTTATATATGCATATAGTCGGCAAAAATAAAATAATTTAAAATAAAAAGAAAGATTTACATACAAACCACTCAATTCCTATGTTTTTACATATCTAAGACCTAAATTTTGCATTTTTTACATTTATACCACACAAAATACTACCATTTTTAACTTTTAAAAGTGGAATACACATTTTCATGAGTAGTTAAGGTGGTATATATGTAAAAATTGAACATAGGTAAATACATAGGAATTGAGTGGCATGTATGTAAACCTTCCAAATCAAAATTGTGGGGGTTGAACATAGGTAAATACATAGGAATTGAGTGGCATGCATGTAAACCTTCCAAATCAAAATTGTGGGGGGCATATGGAAAATCACCAGTGAGTTGAGAAGCTTACAGAGCAAAATCCATGGGAAAATGCAGGAGAAAATAAGAACAGGTCAGCATTTGGGGTCTTGGATTTGAGCTATTAAACAAAAATCTGGTTGGGAGAAAAAAAACAATGAAAATGATAGAAAACAAAGGCATTAATTTCAAGGGCTTTTACATACATACCAAACAGTTCTTATGTATTTACATATTTAAAAGCTACACATTTAAATATGTAAATACATGAGAATTGTGTGGTTTGTATGTAAACTTTCTTGATTTCAAAGCAGAAATTTTGAGTTAAGATGGGCTTATAATCCATGAATTTGCTTTGAAATGAGTGCAATATATATGGATAATCAACTAACTTTAATATCACACTAATCTCAAGCAAATTCAAAATTTTAAGCTTCAGATAGCCCTGACTCCACTCGTTATCTCGTTAGCCGGCTAATTTTAAAAAATATTAATATGAAATATACTCAAAATATATTAAATTTGAAGAATTTATCCTTAAAGTACTAAAAATACTTTTAAAAAACTATTAATATAAAATATACTCAAAATACGAAGTAATTGAGTGATATGTATCTGATTTGAATGGAAATGAGTTTTCCACATAAGTTAGGGCAAATAATATTCTTATTTCACCACACAACTTAAATATATAAAGAAAAGCAGCTACAATTTAAGAGGTAGACGATCTCTCCCCACACTTACAATTCGTGAAGTAGCTCATCTCTCTCAAACCCTAAACCTAAGACTCAAGACCACAATCTCATGCAAAATCATAATCCTAAACATATTAGCCTTGTATATACCCCACAATAATAAATAATAAAATACTAAATTGCCTTTAGGTGCCAGCTTAACAGTATCTGAATATTCCAAATATATGTGCACATATTAAAAAACTAACCAAACAAATATAAAAGAAAACGTAAAGATTAAATTCAAGTAAAATGTATTAAAGATGAAAATCAAAAAAATACTTTTCTTAGAGGGAGATATTCAACATAGGTGGGTGAGCTATTTTGATAAAATTTTGAATGAAGTTTCGGAAAATACAATTGACCTTAGTGATGTCAATATCGTTAATAACAATTAAATATTTTTTTTACCACTGTATTAATAAAAAAGAAGTTGAGAGTGCATTAAAGAATACCAATGACGAAAAATCAGTAGGACTTGATGATATCCCAGTTGAAGTGTGGAAATATTTAGGAGATTGAGAGTTTTTTTACTTACTAAATTCATTAATATTATTGTAAAAACTTAAAAGATATTGATGAGTGAAGGAAGAGTATTTTTGTTTACATTTTTAATAATAAAGGGGATGCACAAGAGTATGCAAATTATAAAAGAATTAAGTTGATGTGTCGTACTTTAAAATTATGAGAAAGGGTAATTGAACATTGGTTAAGACGTGAGACAAAGATTTCTCACAGTCAATTTGGATTGATGCCAAGTAGAATTAAGTTGATGTGTCGTACTTTAAAATTATGAGAGAGGGTAATTGAACATTGGTTAAGACGTGAAACAAAGATTTCTCATAGTCAATTTGGATTGATGCCAAGTAGGTCTACTATGAAAGTTATATATTTATTGAGGTTTGATGGAGAAGTACAGAGAGAATAAGAAGTATTTACATATGATTTTTATTGATTTAAAAAAAACTTACGATAAGATTTCAAGAGATCTTTGGAGAGTTCTAGAGAAGGGGTTGTAGACTTATATTCAAGTCATTATAGATATGTATACTAGAGTTGTTTCTTGTGTTCGAACAGGAGGATTGTTCAACTATTTCAGTGAGATTAATCAGGGATCTGCTTTATACCCAAATCCTTTTGCTTTAGTTATGGATGATCTTACTAGACATTTATAGGAGGATGTACCTTGGTGTATGCTTCTCGCTAATGATATCCTTCTTGTAGATAAGACTAGAGAAAAAGTTCAAGAAAAAACTTAAATTTTGAGGTACTAAAACTGAATACGTTGAATGTAATTTTAGTAGTAGCTCTAATGACAGAGTTGTAACTATGAGAGGTAGAATCATTAAAAGGTGTCAATGTTTTGGATATCTCGGGTCTATTATTCGAAGTGATTATGATATATATGGGGATTTTATTAGTAGAATTCAAGTTGTCGGTTGAAGTGGAAGAATGCATCGGGCCTACTATGATAGAAAAATACTGCTTAAACTAAAAGGAAAATTTTATAAGATGATGGTGAGACATACAATGATCTATAGCTAAGAATGTTGGCCTTTAAAAAAGAAACATAAAAAAGTGAAGTGTTGCTGAGATAAAATTGCTTAGGCGGATGGGTAGCTTGACTCTTAAAGACAAAATGTGAAATGAATATATCCGTGATAAGGTTGGTCTAGCTCTAGTGTCCGACAAGATTAGAGAGAATCACCTTAAATGGTTTGGTTCATATTAAATGTTGACCATCTGATGATCTGATTAGGAGAGTAGATGTTTTAGATTTGACTAATATTCATATGTAGACCTAAAAAAACTTAGACATATTGTGTGAAAAATGATCTTAATCTATTAGAATTCAATGAAAATATGATACTCAATAGGACGTAATGGAGAAAAAATATTCATGTAGCCGACCATACTTAGTGGGATAAAGACTTGTTGTTGTTGTTATTGATATGAATATATATCTATATTATTAAACCCAACACGATCAACCAAAATTTGGTTCATGCTTAGCTCATAAAGACTAGTTGAACAGAAGAAATTTATAAGCCAAACACTATCGAACAAAACAAATAAACTTTTGGAAGTTTTACATACATACCACCCAATTCCTATGTATTTACATATCTAACACCTAAATTTCAATTTTTAAATACAAACCGCCTTACTTATGCATGAAAATGTGTACTTCACTTTTTAAAAAGTTAAAATGATGATATTTTTTATATTATTTAAATTTGAGTGGTATATGTTAAAATTCAGAATAATGTAGAATAAAGTGGAATACAAAATCATTTCATTGATATGAAAGGAGATATAAATAAAGCATACCTGAATCCTAAAATAGGAAACATAATAAAAAGAAATAACATGAAAAAGAAAAATATATCACTTAATATCTCCAATACTAAATCATATTAATTATTTGGAGATAAAGAAAATAACATAAAATGGGAAAGCTTAAAATAGGAAGGAAATAACTCATAATCTAAGGAAATAACTTCTTAATCCAAGGAAATAATTTATTCATAATAATTTTTCACGGGAATAAATTATTTCCTAGTATAACTCCTAACACCCACTCAAGTTAAAACATGATTGAAAATCATGTTCAACTTGGATTTGACAACTCCAAACAATGAGCGAGAATGATCCTAAGAGGTAGAATTTGAAGTCTTTATCCCACATTACAGTTGTCTTTGACTGCAATTTTTGCAGTGTGTGTAGATAGACAGAAGACTCCAACATATAATGTTGCAGGTGAGTTTGCAGGAAAGTCGACAACATCGATTGCAGTTCTTGTAGTGTCTGTAGGTAGACGGAAAGATCCTACAGGTAATGTTGTAGGAGAGTTTGTAGGGGAGTAGACAACTGTGATTGTCTTTTGGCTGCAATTCCTGCAATGTCTGTAGGTAGACGGAAAACTCCGATAAATAATGTTGCATAAGAGTTTCCAGGGAAGTAGACAACCAGCAGAAAAGGCTGCAGAATATGGATTGCAGAAAAAAAACAACTCAGAGGTGGGTCTCTTTGCAGGAAAAGACTCCAGAGGAGGATGTGCTGTACGAAGAATTCGGTTAGAGGGCCCGCTACGGTGAAAGTTCTGAGGGCCAGATACAGTGAAAGTTCTGAAGGAGGGGCTATCATAGGAAAAGCTCCGGAAGAAGGGTCTGATGCAGGAAAGTCTCTAGAGGAAGGGTCTGCTGCAGGAAAAGCTTCAGAAGAGGTTGATGCATTAATATCTGCAGCATTGTCAAATGCATTGAAGCACATCACGATGGATCTAATAAAGAAACAACTAAAGCATATGGTTGTCGCATATCCAACTTCATGCAATTTCTTGCATCTTCCATTTGATTCGATGATAAATTGTTGCAACATCAAGAAAAAACTTTCCTCTGTAATGAAAGAAACCATGGGCAACAAGAAATGAGGCACCTGCAAAAAATATCTTGGACAGGATGCTAATGACTTGAATGGGCTTCCGCCATATAAGCAGCCAGAGAAACACTTACACTAAATAAACCACTGCATGGACTATATGGATAATTAGTCTGCCATCACTGGACACTCCCCATGTCTGGTCATATATCCACCAAATGCCCTCACTATCATAATGGAGGCCAGAGCGGTGGTGCCAAGCAAGAAACTTAGAGAATCAGGGAAGTTGGACTGCTTGGAAATCAAGAAGCCAAACTGCTACATGGAATTGTTGCCAAAAACAACAGGAATGATCTGAATGGAAGGCGGCGGGATAGTTGCACCTCAAGGGAAAGCTCAAATCAGAAAAGTCATACGACAAGAAACCAAGAAGCAGGATTGCTGTAGAGAATAAGCGGAATAAAAAAACAACGGGAAGGAAAAAAGGGGTCCTTTTTTTTCTGATGGCTGAAATGTGGGGGGAAGATATTAAGAAAATAGCTCCCCTTTCCGTGATTTTTTCTGACAGGGGTAGAGTCGCCCAACTTACCTTCTCCGCATTTTAAAAGTTCCGACAGTTGAAAAACGTATGCAGGAGGTAGAGCTGACAACGGGGAACAAATATGTATGAAGAATTAAGATATCTTGGGATAATCCCTTTTAAAACCAGATCCCCCTTGGCATCTCCATGCTGGGATTTCCGCTTGAAAGAAAAAACCTGATTTTTCCTCTTCGAAAGCTGATGGCAGGTGCAAGTCATAGCTTGCAATTACGGGGAGCAGTCACAACTAGGGATCACAGAGATTATGCACAGGTCAACGAAAGATCCATAGAGGTAGCCAAGAAAATCATTATGGAATAGTTGGCTCCCGTGGTTTGGGATCGCAAAGGGCAATCACAGCTTGGGATCGCACAGGACGAGTGCAGGTCATTCCACTAGAGAAAGAAAAAGACTCAAATTGTTGGCCCCCGCAAATCGCGGGTCACAAAGAAAAGATATGGGTTGGGATTGCAGCGGGGCGGTCACAACTCTACTTTTCCCGCAAGGCCGCAGCATGGGATTACAACGAGGGAGGATCAGTAGATCCTTGTTCATGTGGCGAAGGCATGCACGGAGAGAAAGAGTCCCTCCCTTCCCGCAAGGACAATAATAGGAAGGGAGTACGTCAGCTCTCAAAGGACAACCGGTGGCTAGGGTATGAAATTTAGCTCTGGTACCATGTCACAATTCAGAATAATGCGGAATAAAGTGGAATACAAAATAATTTCATTGATATGAGAGAGGACATAAATAACTCTTATATGAATCGTAGAATATGAAGGATAATAAAAACAAATAATATGAAAAGGAAAGATATATCACCTGATATCTCCAATAATTAAATAATATTAATTATTTGGAGATAAAGAAAATAACCTAAAATAGAACAAATTATTTGGAGATAAAGAAAATAACATAAAATAGAACAGCCTAAAATAGGAAGGGAATAACTCCTAATGTAAGGAAATAACTCTTTAATTCAAAGAAATAATTTATTCATCATAATTTCTCACAGGAATAAATTATTTCCTCGCATAACTCCTAATAGTATAAAATGTAAAAAGCAAAGTTATGTATTAGATATCTAATACATAAGAATTGGGCGGTATGTATGTAAATGCCCCTACTTTTTTCACAGCCTTAGCACTACTCTTCATGAAAAAAAGTCAGGGGGAGGAAGAAAAGTACCTGCTGCAGACAAATCGGGATATCAATAGTGCTTTGTATGATGAGTTCAACCTTTTTCAGGGTGGATGGAGCAACAGGCGTAAGAAGATAAAGCTGGTCTTTTGATGAATCTACGGCTCTGACAATCCCTGATTGACATGAATATTAGCATATACTTTATATAATTTTGTCTCGACAGAAAAAACACAAATAATTTTCTGATCAACAGGTAAAATATACTTGGGGGCATTTACATACATACCACCCAATTCCTATGTATTTACGAATCTACACTATATCACAAGACAAATGGAATATTAACAAATAATTTACATACCACCCAATTCCCATGTATCAACCGGTAAAATATACTTCTTAAATTTATACAAACCAAATCTTTCATATCATATAAAAAAAATCACTGCTTTGACTTTTAAAAAGTGAAATACTTCTCATGCATAAGGAAGGTGGTATATATGTATAAATTGAAGTTTAGGTTCTAGATATGTAAATACATATGAATTGAGTGGTAAGTATGTAAATATTCCAATATATTTATATGATTTGTAATACAGTAAGAAAAAAAGTGAGAAAAAAATTCTGGTTCTTAGATGCATATAAGCATGTTCTGTGAATAAAATACTTTATTTTTACAACTTGTCCGGTGATCAGATAATATAGTCCCAATGCCTTCAAAAAGAGACTGGAAGTACGAAGCTCCCAAAATTAAGTACTAATATTCAATTATCATTTGTGCAGGTCCACTATTATTTTTGGGAATAGTTTAGGTTCCATATTTTTTTAAGCCTTTCGAATAGGATGTTCATTGGCCAAAACGATCCAACCAAGTAATTCAAGGCTGGGACTCTTGAAGGGCAACTTGGAAAGATAAAGGAAGATTTACATACATACCACTCAATTCCTATATATTTGTCATGATCTGGCCCAAGGCTTGGAAGTAATCAAGACGAGTACAGACAGTCTGGCAGTGAGAACCAATCTTTCTATATTCAATTACCATTTAATAAATGAAAGAGTCATTAATCAAATTAAATGAAAATAATATATTTAAATTTATTGGTTGTCATTAATCAAATTAAATTAAAATAATATATTTAAGTTTATTGGTTTGCATCTTCTATAAACATTTTCTCTTCTATTATTTATCTTTTACTTAATTAAACTTGAAAAATTAGTTTAAAGCAACTGTGAGCTAACCAAAGTCAATGAATACTCATGCTCTTAAACTACAGTAATACGAATAAAGAAAACAATATGCATGTCAGTTAAAATCTTAATAAATCAATATAAACATTTGAATTGAGAGAAAATAAGTCAAAAACCAGGCATTGCATTTAACACGTGTTTATATAGAGGTTACAAAATTTGACAAATAAACCAAATAAAACCCTCTTATTACACATAACTCACAACACTTCCCCTCAAGATAGGTGAAAGATATTCACTAAACACACCTTGCCACATAATGTAAGCTAATTCCACTGAACTAAGTCCCATAGTGAGGCAGTCAGTCACCTGCTCTCCAGTAGCTACATGACTCAGTTTCAACAATTCGTTATTCAATTTCTCCTTGATGAAGAATTTATCAATCTCCACATGCTTAGTTTTATCGTGTGGCATCAGGTTGTTAGAAATACTGATTGCCCACTTATTCTCACACAACTTCATTTGAGTTCCCTGATCCACTTTAAGTTCAACCAATAAGACTTTCAGCCACACAACTCCTAATGTCATGACCATATATTCTGTCTTTGTTGTTGATCTTGCTACGAAACCACCCTACAGATATATAGTATCTGATGTGGATCGTCTGCCATCAGCACAACTTGCCCAGTCAGAATCACAAAAGCCGTCAATACCTACATGTTCATTCTTCATGAATATCAACCCTTTTCCTAGTGCACTCTTCAGATACCTCAGAATCTGATACAATGCATCCATATGACCCTTCCTTGGATGATCCTTGGACGATTCATGTAGCGGCTTACCATATTTACTGCAAAAGAAATATCGGGCGGCCGATTGTGGCATAGATAGATCAAGCGGACCACTAGCCTCTAATACCTATTACGATCGATAGATTCACATGCCTCTGTATTAAGCTTGGCCTTATGATTAAATGAAGAGTTTGCAAGTTTGCACCCCCACATGCCTATGTCTGTGAGACAATCTAATACATATTTTCACTGAGATAAGACCATCCCCTTAGGTCCATGGGCCAGTTCAATCTCAATAAAGTATCAGAGTTGTTACATACTTTTTACCTCAGATTGTTTTCCCTAATCTTCCCTTCAGTTGAGCAATCTTTGCCTCATTATCACCAATAATAAATATGTCGTCCGCATATACAACAAATATGGTGGTGTGACCCTCATGCTGTCAAAAGAATATTGTGGCCTGCATTAATTTGTTGACATCTCATGCATACCATCGACATTCTAAACTTGTCAAACCAGGCCCTAGGAGATTGCTTCAAGTCATATAGTGACTTCCTGAGCCTACACAACTTGCTCACTGTCCGGGATGTACTGATTCTTGATAGTATCTCCATATATATCTCCTTCAATAGTTTCACAAGAAGAAAATCATTCACATCCAGTTGGTGGAGTCTCCATCAATCATTCACTATCAGAGAAGTCAGTGTCCTCATCGTGCTCATCTTCGCTACTAATGCAAAGGTTTCGTTGTAGTCAATGTCATACGTTTGACTGTATCCTTTTGTCACTAGACGTGTTTTGTATCTCTCCACCTTTCCTTCTAGAGTTTGTTTTATCGTGAAGATCCACTTGCATCAAACTGTCATCTTCTCTGCAGGTAGTGGTGTTGATTTTGATCAATAGTTCCAAGCTCTTAATGCATCGTTGCTTTCCACTTGGGATCCTCTTTAGAAACCTGCCAACACGTTAATATAGAGACAAAGTCCAATGATGCAAAAGAGTGATAGAATAAGAAATAAAGTTCGCAATGTCAAGTTCCCACCCATACAAATCAGTAGGATGTCATGCATTGTTGCGGGAGGTCCTCCTTAATGTTGGAGGGGTAGCAGTGGATGGAGTAATAATAACACCTGAGATTTTTGAATCAAAAGTTGATGGCATAGATGTCTCCAGAGTTAGGGAAGACCACGACAAGAGATGTCATACATTTTTGCGGGAGGTTCTTCTTAATGTTGGAGGGGTAGGAGTGGATGGAGGAATAATAACAATGAGATTTTTTAATCCACTTTAATCAAAAGTGGATATAGGTGTATCAAGAGTTAGAGAAGACTGAGACAATGGACTCGTTGGCACTACAAATTCTGTTCCTCATTTTATACCTTCCTCCGTATATGAACCCTTAACACCTTCAGTGAACCATATTGCACTCTAGAGGTGAATTCATCCTTTGGTGACTCGAGAGACACTAGACATATGAAACAAGAGAGAGTGAGTAGTTGTGGTGACACCACAACTACTCACTCTCTCTTGTTTCATATGTCTAGTGTCTCTCGAGTCACCAAAGGATGAATTCACCTCTAGAGTGCAATATGGTTCAAACTCTATGAATGACATATCCATACTTACAAAGAATCTCTTCTTAATCGGGCTCCAGCAGACTAACCTTTCTGAGTAGCGGAATAACCCACAAACACACATTTTACAGCTCTAGAATCCAACTTCCCTACAAATGATATGTTGTATTTCACAAAATATATACATCCAAATACCTTCAATGAAAGGATCCCACCATTGTCGTCTTTCAACATCTGACAAGGAGACTTCCATTCCAGCACACTTGAGGGCATCCTGTTAATCGATTGAGCAATTGTAAAATTTGTCTGTCCACATAAGAGATGTGGGACTTTCATTATCATCATCATGCTCCGGGCTATCTCTAGAAGATGTTGATTCTTCCTCTCTGTTATTTCATTCTGTGCTGGCATGTATGGGCATGCGGTTTGATGTTGCATTACTTGAGCTGACAGGCAATCCACAAATACTTTGTTAATATAATTTTTCCAATTATCAAATCTCAGTGTCTTCACAACTGCCTCATATTAGGTCTGGATTGCCCTGTGAAAATATTTAAAGTGAGCAACCACCTCACCCTTCTGTTTCATCAAGTATTTCCAGATAACACGAGAAAAGCAATCAATAAATGTAACAAAATAACGATAATCATTCATAGAACTAGTAAGACAAGATCCCCATACATCAGAATATATCAAATCAAACACACCAGAGCACCTCTTCTCACAACTGACATATGAGCTCCTAGTGAGTTTGTCAAACTCACAAACATCACACACCAGTTTACCCTTAATTGTAATTTCATTCATAGATGGATGCAATAGACTCGTTAAACTAAGACTAAGATGTCCATACGTCTGTGATGTGACAGTAACACATAGTCGACGTTCCTTCTAGATTCTTCTAGTGCAACACTTTCCACCATTGATGCCAGAGTTAAGTTTATTCCCTCTCAGTCCAAGTACCAAAGTCCGTTATGCCACGTTCCAGTGCCAAGTGTCTGACCTGTACCTTTCTCTTGGAAAATCACTTGAGAAATATCAAAAGAAGCAACACATTTTAACTGGAGAATAATGACACTGATCTTGGAAAATCACTTGAGAAATATCAAAAGAAGCAAGACATTTTAACTGGAGAATAAAATGTTTATTGGAAAAGAATGAGCATACAAAACATTGGACAATCATATAATTGGTGTTGGAGGTGTCAAAAATTGACCAAATACGACAACATGACTTAAACTCAACTCGAAAAAATACGGGTTAGGGTTGACCCGAATATTTTTTGAGTCAAGTTCGAGTCAGAGAATTCGACCCTTTTATTATTCAGATCGAATTCAAGTTAAACCCTAAAATCCAAACATGACTTGAATAAGCACAAAATGTTGGGTCAGGTTCGGGTTAGCAGTTCAAGCTCGGGTTTGGTTCTTTTTTTGCGACTCGTTTATTATTCAAGTCGGGTTCGAGTTGACCCTGTTTGGGTCTAACTTTAAACTGACCAACTAACACGAATTGACACCCTTAATTGGTGCATCTCACTGTACCCTTATCAACTACAGGTTGCGATGTACCATCAACAGTTTGTGTACTCTCTAGTACTGCTAGATGAGTATATGAAGAAAACTCTACAGCAGTACCTGTCACGTGACGAGAAGCACCAGAATCTATGATTCATCCTGATGATTTGTGGTGGAAATAAAGGCAAGGGCAAATGTGTCAACAATACTTTTACTGAAGTGACCATAAGTGGTAATGTTAACCCTTAATGTCGATGAATTTGAAGGATCCATAGCTCGATCACCTTTTGATTTCTGTTTCCTCTTCAACAACTCCAGACTCTCATGATCCTCACTAGTAAATATCACACCTAGCTCTCCCTCATCCTCTATTACCATCAGATTTGTTCATAGCACCCTTTTCTGCCTTTTCGAACCCACAACCATGACCTCCACCGCCTTTTCGAACCCACAACCATGAGATCCACCTTGTCCACGTCCATCGGTCTCTCTCTCCTTAAATGGCTTAAGACAGATCTTGCTCGGATGATCAAATTCATCAGAATTGTAGCACTTGCAAGTCTTCTCATGGACACCTAGCATACCCGGGATTTCAGCAGCCAATGCTGATCATGTACCCAAAAAATCACTCAACTCAGAGTGTAATTTCATGTGACTCTCCTCTTGTATCATCGCAACAATGGCCTCATCTAATGTGGGAATAATCGCCTGAGCTAGAAGGACAAATCATCTCTGATTAAAGTTCATATTCATAGGAGATAGAAACTACATAGTCATCATCTGTGTAAAGAACTTTCCTTTCTTGCACTCTGAATGGCTATAGCTTGACATCAATGAAAAGTAATCAAGATCTGCCCAAAGCCTCTCTAAATCTATGGAGTATTCCTGAATTGATTTCTCACCCTGTACCACAGCTTCTATCCCGTGTTAAATATGAAATACCCTCATGTGGTTCTCAGTCCTAGCATAATTCTTCATCTTTTGCCCAAATGTCCCTCACCTTTCGAATGCCATCGACTAAGAATGTTATTGACAAAACCATTTATTTGAGCAGCCAGGTGTAAACTAAGGCGTGAGTGGTCCTCCATTTATCCTTCTCAGCATTGTCACTCTTCGGTTCGTCCTCGGTTAGATATCCCTCTAGTTTCTTCCCTACTATAGCTGCCTCAATTCGACGTGACGAACTCAGATAAGTGATTGATCCATCAAGATTTAGATCCACGAAAGGGAAATCTAGCTTCACTTGCGTCGAAGCATAAGTTAAAGTCGTGGTTCCTGTCAAGGCATTAGCTCCCTGTATAAACCCTACCAGGACCTCAAGTCCTCAAGGTCAATCCTTAATAGAAGATCTAATCCTTTACTCCCCACACTATCCCCATCTCTTGTCATCTTCAATCAACTGGACCCACTTCTAGGTCATAAACGCTATGAATAATTCTTTTCCTCCTTTAGACCCGATTTTGAACTATCTCATCATCAAGATCGTTGCCTTTTTTGTGCGGCGGCCCGACTGCATGAGGTGAGGCAGCCCCGCCGGCGGGAGGGGAGGCGGGGGGGGCCCGGGCAGAAAGCAGCGGCGGCCGGAAGCGATGGCCGACACTGGACACGGGTGCGTCTCCCACGAGACGCATGACGCGATGCGTCTCCCACACGGGACGCATGACGCAGGTGCGTCTCCCGCACGAGACGTGGGAATAAGATAAAAGGTATGGGCTAGGGTTGGCTCTGATACCAAATTGAAAGAAAAAAAACCAAAAAACTAAGTTTCCATTCATATTATGCGTTTAAATAGAGGCTAAAATTTTAACAAATAAACCCTTTTATTACACAACTCTCAAGAATTTCAGATGTTATTCAATGGATCTTATCATATCAATAGCATAAAAATATCTTTCTATATTTGTACCAACGTCACAGAAACACCATTTAAAAATTGTACCAATTAAATTACTTCAATATCAATATTATTTTCCAGTTACGTGCACGAGTGTCTTAGCGTTTACCTACTAGTATCATAAAAAAATAACCAAATCATAGTCACTCATGCACATACAATCATTCTATAAAAATCACTATTTACTAAAAATATATTTCATTCACATTTATGTAGCAGACAATATACTTATAAATCATTTAATATTCATGATAATTGGAATAATGTTGTCCGCACAAATCATTTCTACAATGTGAACAAAAATTTACAAAAATTCAAAATCATGAGTTTACTATAATTGCAATAAACCTATGATAATACTAGTAAATGTATTTGGTCTAGAAGAAACAAAATATTACTATAATATAAGAACAAGAGTACTAAACTTGATGTAGATTAATTTATTTTTTGATTTGTCTTAACTCTTTTAAAATTAAAAGCCTAAAATAAAGATGGAATAAAATTTATTTATTACTCAAAATAAACTATGAACTTTTTAAGTATTAAATTTTTATTATTTTACTTTATGTAATCATATATATTATTCTTATTATTATTATTATTATTATTATTTTTAGCTATAAAGATGTTTATAAGAATATGCAAAGTGAAGTGATTTAGTGTATACTTTTCGCAAATGACGTTGTGTTGATTAATAAAGCATCCAATGAAATGAGGACTTTTGAGTTAATAGAATAAAAATTAAGAAAAACATATATAATTTCAGTAGGAATGACATTAATAGTTATCAATTAACATCATCAAAGATGAAGAAACACCTAATTGTGATAAATTTAAATATCATATATTCATTATACAAATGACTAAGAATATAACTTCTAAAATTAAAAATGATGGTTAAAATCGATAAATGTCTCAATACTATTATGTGATAAAAAAATATTATGAAGACATAAAGGTAAATTTTATAAAATCACAATTAATGTTTTACCAATCGAAGACTTGAATGATAAAAGCCATTGACATCTAAAGTTAATCCTAGCATATATATAGGAATGTTAAGTTGCATGTCTGTTAAAATACGAGGGCTAAATTAGGAAATACTTATATCAAGGAAACATTTGGAGTAAATTTTATATGATTTGAACATAGAAAAATAATTTGTAGAAAATACACTTTAAATTTGAAGGCTATATGTCTGTCAATGACTTGAGAAGAAGGAATACCTAAGATAATATGGTGAGAAGAAGTTCAAAATGATCTGCAAAAAATAAAGTTAGCACCTCAAGGAATCGACACTCAACACGAACAAATAAAAAATGAGAATTAATAAAATCTTATCCTAGAAAATTTAGATAAACCTAATGATAAAGATGATGACCAAAAAGCTTCGTTCAAATTCCTAATTAGCTTCTCTGAACTCACTTGATCCACATTTAGGACTTAAAAAGGAGATTTATCACACAATTAGTGCTGATGCGTTGATGCCCTGATCTACTTGGATCTTGCCACTACAAGCATTGTCACCTTTGAAGGTCAAAAAGTTTGAAATGCCGCCAAAATATTTCATAGAAGTGCCAACCACGAATATATTATTGAGAAATGGAACTTTTATTTGAAAAGTATCAAGTCAACGGTAGAAGGCTTGAAGAATCATTACATGAACCTATTTGCTAGCCTAGTAAAAAAACAAAACAAAACAAAAGACCAACTTGGGTGCTCCAGAAACATGGGGACCTAGTTGCAAGTTTAGTGTAAGATGCGTATTTATAAGCAGATTTATCATAATCCGACCCTAGCATTCTTGAAACAGGAAGCAAATTTCGTTCGATATAAAAGTCAGTGCATGGGAGTAGAGAGAATTCCTCTAGAAATTATGACAAAAGGAGATATAATTTTGTTTTCATCATGCATAGAAGTTTAAGAAATTAGTGTGTTTAGAAAAGTATATATGGTATAAGTGGAAGATTGAAACTTACCAAGTCCAATACACCATGGGGTGTTGTTTTCAGCTATTGCTGAAGACCTGACGGCGAGACCAACAATTGAAGCATTTAGACCTTGAGATACTACACTGCTTACCACCTGATATATGAAAGTTTAAGTTCACCAAAAAAAATAAGAAAATTCCAGAACAACTATATAGCAACCGGATGAATTAAGTTAAAATGGGGCTTACATCCATTAAATTGCGGAAATTTTATTTTGTTTAAAAATTCATTCTGAACATTAATAGAAATATTAGAGCTAAGAGTATTTTATTGAAATTACCCAATGGGCTGGACTTATCAACCTAAATTTAAGAACAATCCAACAAAAATATTATTAACTTAAATCTAAAAGTGGAATTAAAATGCGGGTCGGATATCATTTTGCATGTCACCGGATTGCCTCCTAGTTTTGAACCTCACCGGATTGTCACCTCTCGAAAGCGGCAAAATTTTGTTGTATTTAGAGGATTTTCCATTTCATATCCTCCATAGATGATACCGTTTTAGGGCTCCTAAAAGATATTTACAAAGGGGATTTAGCAAGGAGGCGGCTATGGAATAGCAAAGAAGGATACCAGTGGCGGTCAACGACATTTTGAGGGGAGATAAACGATGTTGAATGTATGTCCCGCTGAAAACAACAAAGATGGCATCAAAACGATGAGGTATGAATGTCGAGGAGGTTCATCACTTGTTCCTACACTAGCTACAAGCGCTTCACTTTCAAAAGAAAAATGATGCAGCACTCTGCTAGAGTAGAAATTAGAAATATAATCTCTAAAGCACAAACCAAATCAAAAGTCCCTCCAACATAAAAAACAACAAAAAAATTAGCTAATAAAAAATAACCCAAATTAGGAAAAAAATAATAAGAAATAAGTCAAAATAGCAAGGATTCCCATATATATTTCCAACCGGACAAAAAGTTCCTATTCGATCTGCCTAGGGGTCATGGAACTTCTGTTTCTGTGGAATCACAAATCTCGTGACTTTGGTCGACACTCCTGCGTCATTCTTCCCAACTAAAAGATGATTCAACCATTTCTTTGGAGACTTCTGGAATCAATCTATTACCATATCAAAGTCATTGCAATGTTGTAGCTGAGAAACCATCACTATAAAATTTATGCTCATGTTCATTCTATGCAACTCTAAAGCACATACGTCATTCAAAAGGCTATCCTGATAAAATAAGTAGTCATCCTGTTTTTGCACAATTAGAGTCGAAACTACACACAAATGAATCTTCTCACAAAACAAGTCTCGAGTCATTAAAGTCTATAAAATGCTTTTCTCACTCATACTCAGCTAGGTGTATTTGATAAGCAAGTCTGTCTAGAAGAACCAACTCTGGAATGAAATTAATGCAAGTCTGTCTAGAAGAACCAACTCTGGAATGAAAATAAAATGAAAATAAAAAAAAATGTTGGACCGCTCTCAGTTGTGACCTCTGAAGTGATAAATGGTCGATTAGGGTGTCCATAGAATCTCTCAACAGTGGCTTCCTCTTTTCTAATATCGGCTCTTTGGACTCACTGCCCTCTAGAATATCCAATGTTAATCTAGTTGGAGTCACTCTTATGGGCTCGGCTTGAATTACTAGTGCATCTTCCTCGTCGGCTGGGAGTTGAGACTCCTCTATAATGCATTCATATACTCATGTGTTGCTGCCTATTTCTTCAACTGCTTCCTGCTCAGTGAAAAAGATCGTCCCCATGTTTGGGTAATCAGATGCCACGTGGCCAAAACTGTGACACTTAGAGCATTTATTAGTGAGGATTGATTTAGGAGTATTAACCATCTCTGCCTTTTTCTAAACTCTGTACGGGTTTCTCCTTTTTCTAGGTCGGTTTGGGTGTTGCAATAGGTGTACCCATATTATCTAATATGATGGTTGAATTATGTTTGAAGAGTGGTGTGTAGTGTTATAAAAAAACTAGTTCACGAAACAACTCATACTTGGCTCACTAAGTAGCCCGTGTTTACTTCGTTCAAAAAACAAACAAGTCAAACATAAATAAATTTTTTAGCTCGATTTATAAGGGTTGAACACAAACAAAAGTTTGTTCATTCGTGTTCAACTTGATTTAACTGAAATTAATTAATAATAAATAGATAATATTAGTATAATATTAATATATTAAATTATTATATTGTATTTAAAAAATTACTAAATTTTATTAATTTCTAAATAATTTTTATCTTGGATTGCAAATGAAAGATAAAATTTGCGTGTTAGATATGTAAATACATAAGAATTAGGTGGTATGTATGCAAATGCCAAAAAAAATTTCTTGTTGCACCCCCTACTAAATTTCGCGGTCTTGTATACCAAAAATAAAAAATTTTGTGTTTAGTATGTAAATCATAAGAATTGCATGTTATGTATTTAAATTCCCTAAAAACCTTCCCCAATCTTGCCTTCCCCTCAACTGTGTCACACGTGATCTCGCCTCAGCATCTCGCCTTACCTCCGTGGCTCTACCTAGCTCATTTAATCCCATGTCATGAAATTTTTAACAAAAAAATTTCACTCATGCTCTTTAAATTAGGAATCTCCCTTTCACGGAAGTCATTTTCACACTTGAGCATGACATAGGGCCACATGGTTGGGGACCATAAGGTAGTTTTAAATTAAAAATTAAAATTTAATATTTAATTATATTATTTGATTTATTGAGTTTTAATAAATTATTATTTCGAGCATAACACAAGCTTAATTCGAACAAAAAATTTGAATAAATTCGAACATGAATAAAAAAAAATTAAACGAGTTGAACACAAACAAGCCTTAGGCTCGCTCAAGATCAACTCGTTTACACCCCTAGTGGTGCAAACATGATATGTTGTCCTGTCTGTCCAGTTTCAGGGCTAGGGTTTGAATATTCTATAATTTCCAATAATAATGCAATTGTACCACATTATCAATAGACGATCTCAATCCCCCCAGATATCGAGTTAAGGTTATTCTTCCCGGGCTCCATTAGCCCACATTTTAATATAATTTGCTCAAACTCAACTGTGTACTCCTCTACCGAGAGATCTTGTTACTGCAAGTGATAAAATCTCAAGAACATATTATGTTTGTATTGAACTGGTAGGTATTTGCGATGCATCTCTTATTTCATCTTGGACTAGATAGTGATTTTGTTTTTCCCTTCCGGCTATAGAAGAAACATCAGGTTCTCTCGCCACAGAGATGCACTCTTATTTAAATTAATGAAAACTAACTTTATCATTATGTTCGGTGGGACATCTTGGTACTCAAAAACACATTCTATTATCTGAAGCCACTCGATGAGCTCATCCAGATCCATACAAGCCAGAATCTGGCAAGTCAATCTTCACTCCATCATTCTGGCTTCTCTAATATTTAAGCATAAAACATCAGTCTATTGGTTCTTCATCATTGGAAATTGTTCGGTGGAAGGGATCTACTTCCTCCTCTCAATCTGAAATCACCGTTGCATCTACGTGTGACCTCACCGGATTGTCTCATCTCTAAAGCTGCAAACATTTGTTGCAGTTGGAGAATATTTCGTTGCATATCCTCCATAACAAGTTCATAGGCACGTCGTTGAAGGTTTCTCATCGGCGACATTGCATCATTTCCCCTCGAATAGGTTTCCGACATTTGAAAAATTATAAATCAAGGTTAGTCGAAGGCTTAAGTTTTGATGGTAGGTATCGAGGTAAAATTTTAGTGGTGGAAGGGTTGACTTCTGAAAATTTAGAGTTAGGGCTAGAAATTGAGATATGAATGATTTAGGTGTGTAGGTTTTTTTTTTTTTTTTGGATTGGGACAAAGAAAGACAACCCTAAAAATTTATGTTTGTCGAGCTTTGATACTCAGATGATACCGTTATAGGGCTACTAAAGGTAATTATGAAGGGAATTTTGCTGCGAGGTTGTTGTGGAATAGCAATGGAAGATAATAGGGGCAGTTAACAGAGTTTAGAGAGAGAATATTCAGCAGCTATCCCAATTGAAAACAACAAAGATAACATTGAAACGTTATCTATCTCCCTCCACACGCCGTCATCCGCCCTTATTATTCTCTTTTGCTATTCCACAACCACCTCCCTGCTAAATTCCATTCCTAAATACCTTATATGAGCCCTTGAGAGGTATCATATAATATTAGATCCCAACAAATCTAATTTTTTAGGGTTTTATATTTCTTATCCCAATCAAAAATTCCAAAAAAAAAAGAAAACAAGTCAAAATAGCAAGCATTTCTGCAAATATTTGGTCTTCCCAGGGGTCGTGGAACTTTCATTTTCGTGGGAATTGCATAGTTCCCATGATCAAGGGTCACAGGATCCCCAATCTCGTGACTTTAGTGAATGCTCCCGCATTAGGATCTTACAAACTTGAATGGTCCCCAATCTCGTGACTTTAGTGAATGCTCCCGCATCAGGATCTTACAAACTTGAATGGTGGTTGTCCGACGGTAACACTTTAAAATTATTCTTGGACCGAATTAGGGACAATGAAATTGAGCCCAGTCATCGACCTATAAGCTTGATCAATAGTGTTGATATTATATGCATTTCAACTAAATCATTTAATCAATATATACTTTTGTCAACAAATTTGCATGAATATTGCATCTTTATTTATGCATATACGTTTTCTTATGATAGTCCTTGCAATTCCTATAATTTTAAGAATGTTACTTTTGTTTGGAAATGCCACATTAGGTTATATGAAAGAGGTCGAAATTTGTCTTTCAAATTATATGGATTTTAAATAAAATATCAAGCTCCACACATGCGTGTGGTTGAGACTCACTGGCGTGGGGTGTCAAAAAATGAGAGCGGGATTTTTCATGACTGAAGACCAAAGTGGTATATGGGTCGCGCAAATAGTGCAAAGCCAAATCGAGCGGCTCCTCTTTCGATTCCTTTTCAATTATCAACATGTCTCCTTTTATCCTTCCTTCGTTTCTAGTCATTTTCCTGCATATGTATTGTATTAGGATTTGGATTCTCAATTTTTAATTGTATTTTTGTCGAGACAATTGTCAGCATGTCCAAGTCTTCCCTTCTAGGGTTGCACCTAAAGGGCAAGTGGTGCTTCGATTGTATCTCATTCTAAGGTGGAGATTATCCTTGACATTCTCATCCTCCACAAACATCTCTTTGCTACCACCGACACCGCAACTACTGCAACAGCCCTAACAATAGCACCTTTATTGTCTCTTGAACCCCCATACCTCCCGGCAGCCTTCCCAGCCACATGTTATGTGTGTGTAGCCAAAGCAATCCGAGAAGTAGAGTGAGAAGTCTGAGAAGCAGTGCAACCGGGGCATATGCGTCCACGAGGTCCGAAACAGTCTGAGAAGCAAATAAGCTGGCTCAAATGCAAAAGATTATGGGTGCATATGCGCCCCCCATATGGCAGACAGTATGGCCGACGCATATGTGTCGGCCATGTCATGCATATGCGCCTGTCATGTCGCGCATATGTGTCGGACATGTCGCGCATATGTATGTGTCGGTCATTTTGCACATATGAGCCCACTTATCGTGGGCGCAGCAAACAGAGAGCTTCAGGCGGGATTTGGTTTTTAATCCAAAATTCGAGTGGCATTTGTAGATGTTCCTGCGCAAGTTTTTCGAGAAGTCCCTGGAGAAGGAGAAAGTGTCAGAGAGGAGGGTTTCTAAGATCTCGGCATGTGTTTTTCATGTCGGATCGGAGTAGAAAACGTTTGGAGCGAGTCCTATAAGTTTTTTTTGGTATGTGGAGAAGAAACTGGAGCGAGTCCTGTAAGTTTTTTTGTATGTGGAGAAGAAACTAGTATGAGTTCTCTGTAAAGACTCTGATTTTCATAGTAAATTTCTTGGTGATGTGGTTTTGTGAATTTTTTCCATTTTCAGGTTTTTTTCCATGTAAAATTCTCATGTGTTTTTCTGATTGTTTTGTTTGTGCTTATGTTTTAATTTTTTTGTTCTGATTCTCTCGAATTGGTGCGAACTCGTTATTCTGCGGTGTGGTTTTGTTTCTGATTGATCCCAAGCCTCGGTAAAATTGTGAATTGTTTGGTATTCCCTATCACCACCTACCAAACTCATGCCACCCAGCTATCGCCCCTTACCCTCCTTCCCAGCCGCGCCGACTGACAGTCCCTTCCAGTCTGTTTTCCTACCATTCCAGCCTACCTGCCGCCACCTTTCCGCGGTTTCAGGATTGCTATCACCTTCTAGGCCCCCTCCTACCTACTGCTGTCACCTAACCTACACTAAATTGCTTCCATCCTCCCTGCCATCTTGCCACCTACTTCCGGTCGGCACTCACACCATCCATTCTCCCTACAGCCAACCTTCCCACCGCAGCCAACTCCCACAATCTCGCCAATCAATCGCAATCACCTAACACCCTTCCATCATGCATAACCGATCACCACCCTTTTGGGATACAATTCTAGTTGTATTGGTGTAGTGTTTGTTGCTATTTCTATTTCCATTGGTGTGGTTGTATTCTCCTATTTTGAATTTAGCAGTAATATTGGGTTTTCCTATCGTTGTTTAGGTTAACTCTGGTATCACTTTCAATAATGTACAAACTTCTTTTTTTCAGAACGAGATTTTTTTTTAAATGCAAAACAATCTTGATAGTCTATACAATGAATTATTTCCCTTAGCAAGTGAAAAAAATCTTTTTATTTTATTTTATTTTTATTTGTTTGCGATACTTTATTACTCCATTTTTCGGTTTATGGTAAACGATATAAAAAAAATTTCATGTCTTTGTTATATATTGTTGATTAATAGAAATCAATGAGGGATGGATGAAAGCGGTGTTCGGACAATTCATAGAGATCAACTTTTTAATATTATTACACATTTATTTTTTATTTCATTATTGTTTTAGATTTATATGATTCTCCTCATCCCATTTTCGATGTAGCCTGTAAACTACCCGCACTTGCAATTTGAAGGGCAAGCAGGTCAACAACTCCCTGATAAATGGAGAGGTCCCGGGCAAGGGTCGTTGCTACAAGGTGTATTTGAGACAATAGTGCTATTTTTTATGTGATATTAAAGATTTTAGTGCTAAGTGTATAAATATGAAAGTTTATGTGTGAGATATGTAAATACATAAGAATTCTGTGCTATGTATGTAAATGCCACAAATAAAAATGACTAATACAGGGAAGCCATCACATAACATAGAAAAATATGGGTCAGGCAACATTAGAAATGAGATAACTCAGCCAGCTTTATTCGTAAAAGAATCAAATAACATTCAAAAAATGCCAAGATGGCAGAAAATATGATTTTTTAAGGTCTATTGAAGCTATAAAAAACTTAACCAAAAAAACCTTTGAGGTGAAAAAAAAAAAAACTTCAATATTAATGTACATGTTCTGGGCTAACCTGACAACAGTTATGCTTAACTTGGACTCTTGAAAGAGGGATTTCTTTAAGAGGTACGGAAGCAAGTTGGTCACAAAATTCCTTGTGATTTAGAAAGTTCATCTCTCTAGGCAAGCACTGCCTAAAGTATGCAATAATTCTAATATCTCGCAACATGCATGCCTCCTTTTTCATAATTTTCCTGCAGGGATCCAATATTGAAAAAACAAAGGCGTTAAGATCACATGATGATCAAGAAAATATTTATATGTGGCATCAAAGAGAGCAGTTAAAGAAGTAATTAATCATTTTTACTACTCCCAATACTGCAGAAAATGAAAGATTAAGAAAATAGATTATCTGATTTGATAAAATCAGTAGTTTCAGTCCACAAATACAACCATTGGTATGAAGAGATAATTTTGTCATCGCATAGGCAAACAAATTCAGGTTGAATAGGTAGATTTCATTATCATCAAACTAACTCTAACCATTTCGAGATGAGTTTAAAAATCATATTAGACTAAATAGCCTTAAGGCACCGGCATAATACATTCATGAGTGGGCATAAGGCATAAGGTTATAACTCGATTATCTAGCCATGTTAACATCGATGAACCTATTTTTGTTCATCATTATTTCTATCTAGTCATTCTATTGGTACAATTCTGACTTAAGTTTAATATGCCTACACCTACCAAACCTTAGTTTTCACAATCTTATTTTCAATGGAAACTATTTTAATATTCTCTCTAATACAATCATTTCTCGCTAACTTTACAACCTATCTATTTTCATCTTTATAAGTACCAATCTCGCTTACTAACAACTACTTCTTTGTTGATCAAAACTCAAATCAATTGAGTAAAGCCAGGATACATAGTTTTTATAAAACACCCAGATATCTCTATTGATATTTCTCCTCAAAAAATAATTCAAGGCTTTTTTACACGAGATTTTTTTTAAGTAATTCGAAAAGTTTCAAGCAAAACTCACAAATTGAATGAAGCTTCACTAAGACTCTTGAGTATTTGTCAAATTATGCATTGGTTTTGTATACTTGATCCAATTAGATAATCTTCGCTGCTTCATATCTAAAACGTCTTTAATAATAATTTACAAGAAAAAAAATATCAAAATCACAATTAAAAATCAAAACTCATGAAACTATCAAAATTGAAAATTTTAATGAAGAGGACGAAACCAAATATGAAATTGAGTGTTAAAACATTAAAAGGAGAAAGAATGAGGACCTAAAGATTAACAAAGGACTAGAAAAATGTCAGTACCAACAAATCGAGTTATACCCAATGCAGGCTAAACATTAGGACCTTCTTTTGAACTCAAGAAGAATTCAATGAATCCATAATAGAAAATTTGGGAACAATTGATCTTAAGATACCTTGCATGCACCAAAGTTACCTGCAAAGAAAGATAAAGATTTCTATATTTAAAAAAAAAAAAAAAAAAGACAGACAAAGATGGATGACCTCCACCGCAATATTGTGTGTGTGATATCGGAGTTAACTCAAAACCACGATAGAAATAGAAATATTATTGTTGAAATTCAAAAGTTACAACAAAGGCTCATCAAAACAGGAAATAAACAACAAACAAACACAAAAGACGCCCTAGGTTGAAGACGAGAGGTGGTGAATGCCAATTGAACAGCAGATGGGATGACTGGTAGGGTGCTTGCTGTAGCAACAGAGGCAGATAGGGGTAGGTGGCAACAGTAGAAGGGGCGGAGGTTAAGTACAATACTAGGATGCAATGTAAGTACGGCCAAGAATAAGTGATGCTAAAGTCAGCAGAGATCTAAAGGATTCCGCGGCATAGCAAGAAGAGAATTTTGGGATTGGCGACTGGGAGGAAAGGTTGAGGGTGCAAGTTGGAAACAAGGAAGAGAAGTAGACTGCTGAGGTGAGTTGGGGGAGGAAAAGTATCCCTAAGGGATCAAGTTACAGTCGGAGCACCCCTCGAACCTTTGGAGAAGATCACCAACTCAGAAGAGTTACAGCTGGAGCACACCTCCTCGCAGTCGGATACAGTCCTAGAAGGGAAGAGGGGGCTCTGATGGCTTTCCCTGACAGAAATCTGAAAGAAAACTTACAAAACATAACCCTAATTCAACAAACACACATATACATAAAGATGAAATAAGGGAAAGCTAAAAAGAAAAAGGGTAAGCAATGGGCATCAATTTCATCCCCCTAAGGAGGTCGGCCGGTCTAGTCATCTCCCCCTTCCAGTTGATTCATCTTGCTCCTCCCAGCCCCGTGTCAGTTTCTTAGGGTTGGAAGAGCTTTGACCTCATTCATTGAAGCTTTTAGTTCTCATTTGTGTTTCTAACAGCACCTGGATCCCACTATCGACCGCACTTGTCTCCCAAGGCACCTGACAGTCTTTCCCAACTTACGAGCAAACATCCACATCTTTTGAGAGTCTGCGACTGAACTGAATTGAGTCTGTGTGTCCCACCTATACTACATAATGCTCCCAAAGTAATCCACGATCAGCTTTGCCTGATCTGAAGTAGGGGTAGCATGAACCTTCCAGCATGGTGGTGGCTCCGATGGTAAGATGTCAACCGTGATATCCTAAAATACTCTTTATCGTGATTGTCTCATGTATGGAGCTGGTGTCTCAGTCCTATCATCATCTGTCATCACCAAAACTTGCCCCACAGATGATGCTTTGTTGGTATGCACTCCTATGACCTCGGGCTCCGTCAAAGAAAGTATAATAATATCATTCCCATCCTTGGTGAAGGAATGTGTGTTTTGAATCTGAGTATTGAGTCCTCCGGTCAAGCTGTCACGGTCTTCCCAACAAAAGATGGCAAGCATCCATAAGACCACACTACACCACACCACACCTGATCCTGAAGCTAGCTCTCGATCAAACTCCAATAAGCACCTCCGATCAATGTTGACTCTATTCTCCTTCCTCAGTCATGTCAAAAAATATGGTTGGGAGTACCGATTGCATATACTCTTGTTCACCGTGCAGCAAGTGTAAAGGCTAGCCTAATTAAACCCTACGCACCCTTAGCTCTATCTCTCCTAGACTTGGTGGAATAAAGTTCCACAAGACTGGACCTTAATTTTAGATCAAACCAAGCACAAATCTAGGGGCCTATAGATTGTCCCTTGATCATATATAATGCACACAAGTATGCTCTAGACTTCATTAGAATATCTTACCCTCTTAGCTTAGTGTTATCATGATTGACTAGTAAGTTGCCCTTGTGCTATTCTCATTAATAATCCAAAAATTTTGTCCCAAAAGAACCCTATCCTAAAATTGACTTACCTAACTAGAGCCAAAGTCTATCAAGACCTCAATAGAAAATGTTTTTTTCTCTAGATATTGATTTAGGTGTCTAAGTTGACCCTACATAAACTTAATCTCCAAATTGACCCAATATGATCCAAATAACCTATTTAGGGCACAAATTGAATAGTTAGCCTCTATGAAGATAGTGTCCTAAATGTCCTTATATCCTAGTTTAAGCTAGTCTACAACCAATTGGATGTCAAACCTAGACCCAATGAGATCAAGATTTCCTTGGTGACTTAAATTATTCAAGAGGAGCCCTTGGTTGGATTTAAACCGAGCATAGACTAGATTAGGCAGATTAAACCAACTAAAATCATTCAAATAACTTGAAGGAAATCCAATTGCCAAACCCAAGACTTAGCTGAATCAACCTACAATATTATATGCAAGCCTACTCTAGGCACCAAATTCAAATTGCCTTTGCTTGGACCCAATGTGTGTCCAAGCTACCTTGAGACTATAACTCTTATCAACTTGAAGGTCTAACCAAGCCTTAGCACCCACAAGCCTTAGCTTAACCCTAAGTTAGAATAAGCATAACAAATTGGCCCAGATTACCAATGTCTTAACCTAAGCATAACTTAGCCTACCATAAGGTAGCTCTAACCAATCATAGGTATTTTCAGCACCAATTGATACTTTAACCTCCATTGGACCAAAGTATAGTTAAGTCAAATCTAATCCAATTTTTAATGAAACAAATCTATTTTAAGTCCCCTTAAAGATTCAATAGACCTCAATTGTGGCTCATTTGAACTTAACATCTAGTCCTGCTTGGCTAGCCAACTATGGGAACACATCCGAAGCTTGGAGTGATCGATCTAACTTTCTTTCATACAAGTGAAATTAGGTTGACCAAGCCCAACATATGACCATCCTAGCTTCCCATTGGACTATTGAGACCACTTAAGAGATCAATTACACTTGACCTTGACCAAAAACCCATGACACAAAACAATTTATCTAGGTCATCCAAATGGGCAAACCCAATTCACAACTTCGGTTGAATTGAGCCAAAGTCTAGCCAATTAGAACATTTAACCTAATTTAAGCTATTAATACCTCCCCTTATCCCTTAAAGTTGGTCCAAATAAAGCACAGTATATGAATCAACAACCATGACTTTCCCAGCTCAAACCATGTGTTGAGTGGTTCACACCTTGCATCACAATGGGACCAGCTTCTTCCCCCTGGACATCCCAGGCACCTAATTGAAGCTCATGACATACTTGTGAGTTTTTTTCAACCATATCTAATTCTTTTGAACTGCAACAGATCATGTGTTATATCTCCAAACATAGTAGTGACATTGGTACAACGAGCCCTTTGCCAATAAATTATTTGAAATCAAATTTTAAAGCAAATTGTTGAAAAACATACAGTTTTCATCGACATCGCAATTTAATGTGGATATCCAAGATAAGAAACTCATGGTTTTTGATCAATGTTTATGAGGATTACAACTCAAACCCTCTGTCATTGGCTTATTGGGTTTGTTGGTATACTAGGAGGAATGATAAAAAAATGGAATCTTGACCGGTTCTAACTCTATCCCAAAATCATTTCGTATACAATTAAATTTAAACTAATTACTAAACTTGAGTTTAAAATCAAAACTATTTGCAAACAGAGACTATAATAAAATGAGGTGGCTCGCACTACCAGGAAGTCTTAACCATATATCTAAAAAAATTCACCCTAACATCATGTAAAGGAAAATTCAATTAAAGTAAATCCAATTTACCTCAAAAAAATGACTCTTTTGTCCTCTTACACAGACTGAAGTCTGAAGAACCTCGCTTTTCTTAATAATTCAGATCAAATATAAATAGGTGGAAGCCAAAAAAAAAAAAAAAAACTTAAAAGTTAGCTAAATAAGGTAAATTCTAATTATGTGGATTAGTTTTAATTACAAAATCAATCATTCAGAATAAAATAAGTGGAATGAATAAGATCCGCTCGGTTGAGAATGCCTGAATATGTCAATCACACACTATTCAGCTTAGCCATGATCAACTCAATTAGCATAAACACTAAAAAAGACTAAACACATGGAGTCTATTTTCTATTCATGGAGTCCCCATGCTTTGCTCTCTATTTTAATAATTATTCTTATTTGGCTCATTCGCTAGATGTGAGTCAAAATGCTAAAGAGTAAAAACAAACATGATTTTATTTTTTTTATTTTTATTTATTTATATTTTTAATTTTCCTTATTAGCGCTTTGAATTCATTCAGGTTCAATGGATAATAAATGAAACAAGTCAAACAAGACCTTTGCTTATTCATGTTTGGCTTGTTTACACCCTTAATTTTTACCTCTTCAATAAAATAAATAGCATCTCAATCAACCACAGATTCTAGCTCGATCAAGATGGTTACGAGTTTTTAAAGTAATGGTCGGCATATGTCCTTCTAAACCTAAATAAGTCTTATCACGGATAATGAAACCCTAGTTTACTGTGAAAAGCCTGCATAGAATCTACTACTCTATGCAAAAGATAAAACTTGAATGAGCTTTATAAATATGTCAAAAAAAATGAAATCATAGGATGTTCATTGGGGGCACGCATATATTCTTCATATACACATGTATGAACCTGAATAAAAAATATTATATACAAAGCTCATGAAAGTCCCAAATGTACATTCCTTTAAAATGCAAGCAAAATATATTCCCCAATTGGCATATAGAGCTAAACCTTTTAGCATGGATTAGGTCTTTTAAGGCAGGTTCCTTCTAATTTGTCCTGCTTGGCTTTGTTTGGTCGAGTTTGGCCTACCTCAACTAAGTTTAATTGAACCAAAGTAAGACTTAGGAAGAAAATCAAGTTGTGGTTCGAGACTTCTGGAATTTGGTCGGTTTAACCTAGTCTTATTGACCATGTTGGCACCCATGATATCAACAAAGACATCCATGGAACTGTTTGCATCTATCTTAATAAAACTTTAAGGTGGTGTTTTGCTACAACTTAGATTTAGGTTGAATAAGATTTAGGAAGAACTTGCGAGCAACAGCGGCGAAATCGATTTATTAGATCCGGATTTACATCCAAAAAATGACGGAACATGAGAAAAGAAAACGGAACGCGAGAAAATTACATTTTAATGGAGCGTTGAATTTAGTTTATTTTTTTGGTGTTTGGCTGCATTTTAAGTTAAGTCCATGGCTACATATAGTATGCTACCAAACACCACATAAGAATTTGTCAATAAAGACCAAATGTTTTTAAAGGAGACAAAAATATCATTACAACATGCATGCTCTCTAACTTAAAATAAATAATATGCATTCTGGCAACAAAAATTTGTTTCTTCAATAATGACTGGAACCAAATGCAGATAAAACTCACGGTAGATATGAAGTCTCATTTCCATAACAAATATGAACCAAATTTACAGGTTTTCTTTGGGGGTTTTCCAGCCAGAACAACCCATTTGGGAGGTTTTTACTTTCTGAGGAGCTGCAAACTTTGGCAACATGAGTGGGAGAAGTATGCCGAAGCATTGCCACTAGCACATCATAACCAGTACCTATTACAAAAAGAAAGCATTATTTTATTATGAGTTAACACTTGGTATAAACTTTCATGAAAACAAATATAAGTAGATCTTCCACCTTGAGTATGACGTTTCCATGATTACTAAAAGTCAGTAATAAAACATGGCAAAAAGCATACCTTTCACCCATCCGTAAGTGTTGATAATAAGTGGCAACAATATCTTGCAAGGATTATCAGTCTCATCCACTTGATAGAACCCTCGGCGGAAGTAATCATATAAAAAAATAATGCTAGAAAAATAACTGTTTGATTCTTTTTTAGCAGACACATGACCAAAGAAGACACATCTGCGTTACAAAAAGAGTGAAATAATAAATCTTAGGCACAATCCGCTAAAACAAAAAAATTAAAATTAAGCTCAAATGTGTTGAGAAATATAAACTTGATTTATCTTAGTATCATCCTTGTATTTGATAGAAATGTAGAATTTGTTGGTGCATGCGGAAATCTAGAATCCTCTTGTATTTAGTATAAGTATAGAATTTCTTCTACTAGGTAAAATGATATTGGAATTAACCCAAAATGGAACAAACTGAAAATATTATTGCAAAATGTGGAAACTACAATAACAGGGTTCTCAGAACAGAAATAACAACGACGGCAACACACACAACACCTAGGGTGAGGACGAGGGTGGTGGGTGGTGGGTGACGGCTGGACTGTAGGTAGGGTGCAGGTTGGGGGTTGTGGATTCAACAGAGGGGTTTGGAAGGGGTGAAGTCAGTAGTTGGAAGGTAGGCAGAGGATGTCGGCAGCAGCAGGAGGGATCGAGATGGTATTACGACAGCATGCGACAACATGTATGGGAACGGTCTATTGCAGCAGGTGGGCAGGTAGATGGGGTTATGGCATGCAGGGAAGGAGAAACTGAGGTTTGCGGCCACAAGTTTGAAGGCCAAGGAAGTTATGGCAGCAGGTTGGGCAGCAAGAGGGTGGTGGTGAGGAAGCAGGGAAGGTTGGTGCGCAGATAGGGTGGCAACGGCAAAGGAGGGGAAGTAATAGCAAGGTTGTGGGGAAATAGTCATCACATGAGAGTAGATACAGCCAAAATCATAAACATATAACATGGAATGTATGTATGTATGTATGTTTGAGGTTTGCGGCCGCAAGGAAGGCCAAGGAAGTTATGGCAGCAGGTTGGGCGGCAAGAGGGTGGTGGTGAGGAAGCAGAGAAGGTTGGTGTGCATATAGGGTGGAAACGGCAAGGGAGGGGAAGTAATAGCAGGGTTGTGGGGAGATAGTCATCATCTGGGAGTAGATACAGCCAAAACCGTAAACATATAACATGGAATGTATGTATGTATGTATGTATGTTTCCGTGTGTGTGTGTGTTTGTATGTTTGTGTGTTTGTGTCTATGTATGTGTGTATGTATGTATGTATGTATGTATGTATGCATCATAGTAGATAGACAAGAGGGAAAGCCCTTCCCCTTTGGACGGCAATTTCAAGTACTGCCCCTTGCAAATCAAGGTTGAACGAGTTAGGCCCCCATGCACTCTGCATCATAGAAATCTCTCATTTATTATTTAGTAAAAGTCTAGAATTTTCTTCTATCAGGTAGAAATCTCTCATTTATTATTGATTTTAAAACTCTAAATCCTATTCTATAAATAGAATAGTTCTAAAATTTTGGGCAGTTTGAAGCAACAACGGAGGCGCGGTACGGCACGCAGACACAATTTTGAGTCATTTGGGGCGACAGCGGCAACGTATCAGGGCAAAATTTTCGACATTTTAACGAAACAAGGGTCGCGGGATCGACCCTGAGGCCAGCGTTCGTTCGCGCAAGTATTACCCGGCTGCCCTCGACCTCTATCAGTGTCTCATCTTCCCCCGCAACTCTGAATCCGAGAGCCTCATCTTTCGTGTCTAGGGCAAAGACCGCCCTGCACTCTGTCGCAGCCCGAGTTGAGAAGGTCCTCATAGAGATCAAGGCGGACTTCAAGAATGATCATGGTAGAATTTAATGCTCGGAGATTCCTACTTCTGGAGTAGCTTCTAAAGTTGCTACATATGAACAGTTGCTACTGTTGGCATCGGTTTTTTACGTCATGTGTATCTAAGACATCTATATTACCTAAGGAGGACGTCCATGTTGTTAACTATTTGTGTGCGGACTAAAAATGTGTAAATTATCATTTTGGACTTAATTACTGAAAAAAAATGATCCGAACAATCCCGAACGACGAAACGGACCACGCGAGTGAGTCTGGAACGTCGATTCTACTTAAAAAAAAGGCGCTCGTTGCACCACAATTTCGCGGGGGAGGTAAAAATGCGCAAATTATCATTTTTGGACTCGATTGCTGAAAAAGTTGTCCAAACGACCTCAAACGAGAAAACAAACCGCACCACTGCGTCCGGGACGTCGATTTTGCCTGGGGATGATACTAATTTTATTGCGGTGGCGTGTTCGACGAAAATGCACCGTAAACTTTATTATTACAATAAAAATTAAAAGAAAAAAAATATTTTTTTTTCCAAAAAAAAATAAAAAAACGGTTAAAAAAAAAAAAAAGAAAGAGAGGGAAACAAAAATTTCCCCCTTATCCTCCTCACACGCGAAGGGCTGCACCCTCTCCCATTCGCAAAGAACCACCCGTCCCTCTTTCTCTCGGCCTTGGGAGTCGAGCCCGCCGCCGGTCTCTTCATCGCCGGTGAAGGTCGTCGGCGTGCTAATCCAGCCGCCGACCGCCCCTCCTTTAGCCGCTGGCCGGTTCTGGAGCCGCACACCAAAAACTCTCCGGCTCCCTCGCGACTCCTCGACCGATCTCGCCGTCGGAGTTCCCTCTACACTGGTGCCGCTCGCCGCCTGGTCTTCGCCTCTCCAACTGTAAGCATCTTTACTCCACCACCACCTCTCTTCTTCCCTTGGTCAGCCAAGTTTATCTCCCCGCCGTCCGGCGCTCCTCGCCGTGGAATGATCGCCTGCCGGCGCTCCCTTCCGTGCCAAAACTGCTATCCAAGGGATTCTTCGGGCAGGTGCTTGATGGCTCTCACCGCTTCGACCATTTTCGCTCGTGTGTTTCTCTTTCTCACCAGCGACATTTCATCGGCCTCCCACGACATTGGATTTGGTGGGGGAAGCTTCTTCTCCTTTGATTTTCTCCCCCAC